GCCACAGGGTGCCAGGGTCCCCCTGGGTCCCAGCCCAGAGGACAGAGACAACCTCTGATTCTTGTGTGGGATTCCCAGTTTCCTGCAAGCATTGCACTTTCTGGACATTTCTAATGACTTGGAGCCCATAGAGCAGTGGACGTGGCAGGAGTGGACGACCCATGGGTTTTCAGAAACCAAAGTCTTCACGGAGCCGGACAGCACCCAGGGGCCAGAAGCCGAAGTTGGCTTGCGGTCACTCTTGTGGACAGCCCATGAAGACATGCGTCCATGCATCATCGTAACCCAAAAAAAGCCCTCTCAGCCCCCGCACTCACCCGCCCCCCACACCTCCTGGGCCCTGACTGCTGCGGGACTCTGTCACGTGTTGGAAGCACACAGTACACGGCCTTTTCCGAGGCCTGCCAAGCTCCCCTCGGGCTTCCCTGGCTCCCGAGCACTTTCCTCCTCACTGCTGAGTAATATTCCACGCCCAGATGGACCGCAGTTTAGCTACTGCTCACTCAGCAGGGCATCTGTCTGGTAGGTCGCCTAGATCACACTTTTTAATAAGAAACGTGAGCAATGGCATTTTTAAGGGATGCTGCCGTGTTTGCAGGCTCTGCCTGTAGCCGCTTGTGTCCCCAGGGTGCCCCAGCAGGCCTGTGTCCGGGTGACAGGGCATCGAGGACCTCCGCCCACCTCACTTGGGGTGAACTTGTTCCCCAGGTCTGTGGTGAAGTATCCTTGGCAGGGGCACAGGTGGGGACATTAACTGTCCCGCCTGCCCTGCTGGCCGGAGGCACGGCCGTCCTGGTGAGGAGGTGAGCGCCCTGCACAAGCTCTCCGGAGGAAGAGGAGTGAGGGTCCTGTAGGACCTCGGGGGAGTCACTCCCCACGTGAGCCTCTCTCCTCCCCACACATCAGTGACACAGGCCCTGGCCTCACCCCGAGAGGGAGCAGGGTGGCCTAGGAGATGGCAGGAAGGCGTCACGCACTGTGGAGCACCAGGCAGCTCCGTGGGTGCCGAGGTCTGCAGCTGGGGTTTCCTGAGCCACCTGCAGGGGAGAGAGCAGTGTGGGGATCATTCTGGGCACAGCCGTCTCTCGGGTCCAGGCCAGAACAGAGTCCCGATTCCTGATAAAGGATGAGGGGTGAAGGGCCCTAGGGATTGTAAGTGCTTGTGTGTACACATACACGCACACATGCAAACACACGTACATACATATATATGCACATATGCCTGTGCACCTGTATACACAGAGGCATGTATACACACATGCACACACACAAAGATACACATATGCACTCATATGCATGCATACATATACACTGACGCTTGTATATACATATACACACATGTATACACAATATGCATATGCATGTTGATGTTGATGTGCACACGTTATGTATACATATATACATAAGCACACACTTATACATGGGTATTATGCACACATATATACACACATATGCTTGTACATTCAGTGGTACCTTGGCTCAGGAACTTTGTTTTACAATTTTGTTTTTGGTGGTTTTTTGAGACAGGATTTCACTGTGCAGTTCAGGCTGACCTTGAGCTCACTTTGTAGCCCAGGCTGGTCTCGAACTCGCAAGGATCCTCCTGCCTCAGCCAGCCCAGTGCAGGGATGACAGGCTTGAGCCACCACACCCGGTTTGTCTTACAGTTTTGGAGAGCTCGGCTGCGTTTGTTTGCGTGGGGAAGATGGCCATAGCTGTGTTTGTCACCCAGTGCAACAGAAGCAAAATCTTAGTGAACGCTTGGTTTGCAAACTGAATTGCTTGTGAACAGAAGCCTTTGTGCATCAAGGTATTGATGTACATGTGTACACATGCATACTCACACATGCATACTCACACAGACATGTGTGCACACACATACACATCCATATGCACGTACCCATATGTATATGCATGCAATTTGGCTGCAACCAGGACTAGGGAACAAACTGTGCCACCAGATTCATGGGAAGAATTCAGTTTGTGAACTGAGGCGCTACTGTCTACATGACTGCCTGCGTGCACACATGAACACAGGTGTGCACACTGCACACCTCTGAGTTTCCCCATTGCTTGCAGGACTGGGATTGAACCCCAGGGCTTCCCCCGAGTGACACCCCCAGCCAAATTTTCCATACACCATAGTTTGCGACAGGGTCTTGCTAAGCCACTAAGTCACCCAGGCTGGGTTCAGACCTGCCATCCTCCTGCATCAGGCTCCCAGCGGGCCGGAATTATGGGCGTGTGCCACCATGCCTGGCTCGTGCAGAATTTTTACATGCAAGCAGCACGGTGGTTTGTTTATACCAGCGGCACCATGTTGCCAGGCAACAGGACCTTTCCATCTTCATGCTGTCCGCTAGCTGAGCCGCTGAGTGCGTGGGATCACACGGGCACAGCTGTGGGACGGAGACACAAATGCGGCTTTTCCAGCGCAAGACGTGATGGAAATATATGATGGATGTTGAAAAAATTGTTTAACTTAAATTTTGTGACAGTAGAAGACACACTGTCGCCAGCTCCTCCCAACCCTCCCCGCTTTGAAGGCAGTGCTCCCATGGCCATCCGCTGTCCGAGGCAGCTCCGCAGGCCTCCTCCCTAAGGGTCCCTGGGAGCACGGTCACCGCGACGAAGGCCGCTGCCCAGCGCGCCAAGCAGGAAACAGGCTGGTAACACATGACACTGTGTCCTCAGCCGGCTTCCCCATCAGTGACCACGGGCGGGAAACAGCCATGGAGGACCGTGAGACCCTCAGGAGCGGGGACGCTGGGCTGCAGAGGTGGCCGGACGGTGGTTACTTAAAGCCAGAGGAGGACCCCGGGCACTTGTGGCAATGCGACTTTTACTCTAACATACTTTTTAAACCTGAAATGCTCATCCCAGTTTTTTTTTTCCAAAATCCATTTTTTTTTTCAAGGATAAAAAGAAAGAAAGAAAAAAAGGAGAAGAAAAAAAAAAAAAACCAGAACAAAATTTCAAAACACATCAAACAGGGGCCACCAGTTATTTTTTATTTTTTATTTTTTTATTTTTTTGTCTTTTTCGTTTTTATCGGTACCAGGGATCGAACTCACGACTGCCTGCTTGCAAGGGGCTGAGCTAAATCCCCAGCCCCTGGCCACCAGTTTTTAAATGCGCCATGTCTGCTGTGACACTGACACCTCTCTCCACCTGGCTGGGGTGTCCTGAGAGGCCGCAGTGCGGGGCCAGTGGAGAGGCCCTTCCTGCGCACACTGATGCAGGGCAGCGCCCCATCCGGCCACGTACCCCAGGGGCTGCCGCTCCGACCAATCATCCCAGGGACAGGAACCGAGCCAGGGCCTCCGTGCTGAGAGCCCGCAGAAGTCACCCCCACTCGCCAGCCGGACCCTTCCCCGTGCCTCTCCTGTGGGCACTGCCTCAGCCGAACTGACCCCTGCTCTTGAGGCCCTGTGCTCGGCCAGGGGAAAGGTGGCCCAATGGGCCTGGGTGGCCGGGGCCTAGCAAGACTGGATAATCACCTCTAGCCCCTCCCTGGCTTCTCTGTGTGTGTGTGTGTGTGTGTGTGTGTGTGTGTGTGTGTGTGTGCGTGTGCGTGCACTGTGGCTTGGTTTTGTGTGGCTCCAAGGCTGGGACCCAGGCCCATGTTCTAGTGCTGTGCCTCTGGGCCTGTTTGCTTTTTGTGTGAGAATATCCCACACACCTGTGGGTGGCTGGAGGATCTGGAGGGGAAACCGAGGCTCAGCCAGCTGCTTTTCTCGGGCCTGAACTCCTTCTGCACCCTGCTGGGGACTTGGAGCCCTAGACTCCCTCTGACCAACGGCAAGACGGCAGGCCTGTCCCCACTGCCTCCCTGGCCAGGGCACCCTATGGTCAGCGCCCTTATCCCCCAAGGGTGTCCTCTAGGTGGCACTGAGACTTGTGCCACATGAAGCAAATTTGGACGGAATGAGGCTGGTGGTAAGGGCCACATCCCGAGACACCGGGATTTTGGGCAGTGGGAAGCCACGGAACGTTCCTGAGGCCGGGGAAGGCTGGGGAGATCCTTGGGGGGCAGAGTGGTTCTCCATCATTATGAGCCCCTCTGTGTTTGCACTTGAGGGTCCCAGCCTGTGAGGGCCAGGACTCGGGGCGGGGTGGGTCACGGCAGCCTCTTTTCCTAGGGCTTGGAGAGGGGCTCCCCGATGCTGTGGGCGAGTCCTCATCTTACCCACAGAATGGAGCCCTCGGCCAACCTACTCCCTCCCTAGGCTGACAGAGCCACTCCCCCCACCCCCTGCCTCAGTCTCCCCATGTGCTTTCCAGAGCCCGAGCCCCGCCCCTGCCTGGTGCTGGGACCTGTGTGTGGCCTTCGAGCAGCTGCCTGCCCCGAGGTCTCCTCAGGCCCTGTCCCTCCTGCACAGCAGCACCCGGTTGTGCCCAGTGGAGCTGGGAGGGGGCGGCTCTGCCAGACTCCGGCTCCGGGCCCCGTGGTACCTACTCAGCGGGGGCTGCAGGAGCCACTGGTGGTCACCGGCCGGAGAGGCTGGAGGAGGCAGCGCTGGGAGGCAAGGGCTGAGGCCACAGCTCTGAACCTGGAGCCCAGAGGGAAGGACAGCAAGTCCAGTCCTGGAGGCGTGCAGGCCTGCGCCCCTCAGGGGTGATGGCTTCTCCGTGCCCAAGCCAGCTCGGGACATGTGGTGTGCAGGGTGCCCAGCCCAGGGACCCAGCCCTGCAGCCCGGAGGAGCCGGACAGAGAGGACTACGGCTGGGAGAGGCCTCGGGGTCCTGAACGGACTGGACACCTGCACTGCTCCTGCGCAGGGGAGGGGCCAGGCGCGTACAGCGCCAGGTCCAAGGAACAAGGTGCCTAGGATTCTCGGTCACATTCACACAATGTAAAGGGCACTCGGCGACAGCAGTCCGTTATTTTGTTTGTGTTGTCTTTTTGAGACAGGGCCTCGCTGTGCCGCTGAGGCTGGCCTTGAGCTCACTGTGTAGCCCAGTGGTCTGGGCTGGTCTGGAACTCGCAAGGATCCTCCTGCCTCGGCCTCCCGAGTGCTGGGATGACAGGTGTGAGCCACCACGCCCGGCGCATTCTGTGTTTTTGATCACACTGCAAAGACCCTCAGGAAACAGGAGCGCAGAGCTGCCTCAGACAGAGGCAGGGATGATGGGCTGAGGGCGTGGGAAGCCAGGGGAGCATTCTGGGGAGGACTCGGGACAGTGTGGCTTTATTGCCATAAACGTAAAAATGTTTCACTCTTCCAGTCTCATCACATCGTACACCTGATCAGAGACGGCTCAACAAGTTTTAGACGCACTTTCAACAACATTGTAGGGAGCCCATTTCCAGGTTACTTGTGGGCATCGTGGGTCCTCTGGCTCACCTTGGTCTCTGGGGCTGGTCTCTGGGCTTTGTCGTGTCCCCCAGTGTCCTCAGCTGGACACAGGACAAGGGCAGCAGAGGGAAAAGCACAGCTTCTGTCATGCAATGGGACCTCGACACGGAGCAAAAGCAAACGATCGAATCTACACGCTGAACAGCGGACCAAGCCCCCCAGCGAGGTGCCCTGCAGAGCCGCCTGCTCCAGCTTTACCGCGCTGAGGGCCGCACTGAGGCTCTGCAGAGGGTCCCCTCCCCGCTGCTCCAGGGGCACTGACGCAGGCAAAGGCTGCTCAGGCTGGGGGCCCCCAGGGACAAGTGCCTGCCAGGCAAGAGGGGCCTGGGGGCCAGCAGGGAGCTGGTGGGAGGTGGCTCCCTGAGGGTGTCTCAGCCCTCACGGCACATCCCCTGCCGCCTGACGTGCCCCCGTCATCACCCATCCTATGGCACCTCCTGACCAGCCTCATCCGGGCCTTCCTAGCAGGTGGGGTTCCAGGGAACCCCGACTGAGAATCACCCGCAATGGTGGCGCTTGGGCCCAGGGAGCCCTTGCAAGAGGGGCTCCTCCTGACCCATGCAGGGGCCCGGGCCATATGGAGCCCTGGGTTCCTCAGCCTCCAGGGCTTGCCCTCTCTGCCCCAGGTTCCCCCTTGGGCCACAGGGTGGCTGGGAGGTAGGCAGCCCCATCTCACACCATGGGCCGCGCAGGGCAGGCGCCCAGGCTGGTGCGGGCTGCAGGGCAGGGGGAGGCGGGGAGCCCAGGAGGAGGGGGCTGTCCCGGGAGGCCTGGGGGCACAAGGCCTTCCAGGCCGAGGATGGCGAGACGGGGGCACCGGCCTCACATTCCTGAGCCGCCTACCAGGGCTGCTGTGCTGGGCGCTCATGCGTGCCGGCGCGGCCTGCCAGGAGCTGCCACTGGGGCGCGCGGGCTCCGACTTGGAGGCGGACGCCGGCTCGGGAGGAAGGGGCCGTGGTGGACCTGCCTGCCACACACTGGGATTGGAGCCTGGGCATGGCCGGCCTTACCTAGGAGGGTCCGGCTGGGGCTGAAGGAGGGGCCAGGGCCGGGGCACCTAGGTAGGGGACACAGGGGGCGCTCCTGGGTGGAGGACACAGGGGCCAGGGCTCCTGGGTGGGGGACATGAGCCGCCACAGCTCTGGGAGCGGGGTGGGGCAGGAGCAGGTGATGGCTTTGACCCTCGGAGGGCAAGGCCATGGGGCTGGGGCTGACCCTGGCTGTGGGGTCTCCAAGTGAGTGGAGCGGACAGGACTGGGCTCCACGGAGCAGGAGGAGCTAGTCCCCCTCTCCCTACAGGCCTGGCCAGGCTCCGGGGCTGCACTAACCCCTCCCGCTGCGGAGGGCCCACTGCGGTCCTCCTCTGTGTCCGGAGGCCGCTGGACAGATGCCACGTCCGGCCGAGGGGCAAAAGGGTGGCATGGTCCCATGTGCGAATGATCCACACGGGGTATTGCGCTGTCCCCAGGCTGTGAACGGTTAGCGTTGTCCCGGGAAGCGCAGGACAAAGTGGCCTTTTCCACTCTCAGCCGGAGGAAGAAGCAGCCGGCGGTGGGCAGCCCAGGCCACGCTTTCGTCTCGGCCCCCGGGATGGCCGGGGCCACCAGGGTCACCTGAAGGACAGGAACGAGATGTAGCAAGAGGGATCGTGCTGGACCCCCGGGTCCAGGGATGGCCATGTGTCCTTGGAGTGTCCCCCTGCCCTGAGAGAGGCCTGAGAAGGACCGGAGAGACCGCCCAGGCTCCCATCACCGTCAGCGCCTCCAGGACCTCGCAGAGCCGCTGTGATGGGCCCAGGCCTGCACGGTGTCACCAGCCAGGATGGGGTCCTGGAGCACATGTGCCCTGCACGGGGCGTGGTCCCTGGGCCAGGGGGATAGCACATAGCCCCGGCACAGCAGCCGTGCAGTGTGGCCACAGGTCCAGCAGAGCTGCTTCACTCTGCAGTGGGGTAGCATGAGCCACTTGCAGGGAGGGGCAAGGAGGGAGGGCAGGCACGGGGCGTGGGCCACAGGGTGTGGGCAGCCGGGGTGGCCCAGGGGCTGTGGAGGCAGGGAGAGCCAGGGGTTGACTGGCTCCTTTCTGGGACTTGGTCACAGCCGCCTTGAGCATGGGCATGAGTGGGGGTGTCCCAGCCCTGACTTGGGGACCTGTGCCTGTCACGTGCTGGGCCACTCTGTCCCGGGGTCCCAGGGCGGCTCGCGCCCGGGTAGAGGCTGAGGACAGTGAGCTCCCTAATGTGTTTGGAGAGAGCCAGTGACGGCCCGGAATGCTCGGTCACCCTGGTCACCGCCGGCCACCAGCCTTTGTTCTGCTGGGCCTCGGGGCTGCAGCCCGGGTGTCACGTGACGGCACCACCGTCAGCAGATGGCATTCTGCTGTCACCGCAGGTTCCGGGGTGGGGGCGGGGCGCACGTCCCACGGTGGGAACAGCGGGCACTGCCATGCCATGGGGGTGGCCGGGGACAGAGGCGACACCTGACAGAGGAGCGGAGGAGCTGGGGAGAAGGTGGTGCAGAGAGGGACACTGTGAGCAGGGTCCCTGCTGCAGGGGCCAGCGGAAAGCTCCCTGGGAGATGCCCAGCCCAGGCCAGGGGCCGCCTCTGCCCTCGGGCACAGGAGCCGCTCTTGGTGGCCTCCCAGTGACCTCGGCCAGCCCCATGGGCACCAGCAGTGCTCCTCATGGGGTAGCATGAGGCAGACAGGGAACTGAGGCAAAGGGACCCAGGGAGGGGGTAGCCATGTGCAGGACTGTGGGGGCAAGGTGGCAGGGCAAGGTGGCAGGGGGACATCACTGCAGCCCTTGGGAGCCACCTGTGCTCCATCTCAGTCAGGGGATCTGGCGCTAAATCATCTTTTCAGACACTGCTGACACAGTCACAGCCTAAACAAATCACCCTGAATCAAACATACCCATCAGTCAGGCAGCCAGCCAGCCAGGCAGTCAGCCAGTCAGTCAGTCAGTCAGTCAGTCAGTCAGTCAGTCAGTCAGTCAGTCACACAGTCAGGTAGCCAGGCAGTCAGCCAGTCAGTCAGTCAGTCACACAGTCAGGTAGCCAGGCAGTCATCCAGCCAGTCAGTCAGCCAGTCCATAGTCAGACAGTCAGGCAGGCAGTCAGGCAGTCACCTCATGGACAGACTGGATGTGGGGAGCCATCCCACATGGGGAGCCCCATGAGGGGCTGTTCCCAGGCCCTGTCACCCCAGCTTATTCCCACTGTGACCCTGCTCCCAGGTTGCCGAGTCTCAGTGAAAGTGGCCTCATGTTGCTGGCACGGGAAACCCAGACCCCAGCAAAATGCTGTGTGGCCCCATGAGCCTTTATCCCCAGAGCCCTCACACTCATCTTGGGACCTCAGTGGCCACCACAGAGGGACAGAGAGGACAAGGGCCACGCGCTGAATGGGCACTAGAGCCCCAGTGCCCCGGCATTTCTCCCAGGCCCGCTCCCCATGGCTGCACTGTCCCCTCCCCAAGGAGGCCCCAGCTGTACCCCCAGGGCTGTCCCTGTCCCCAGACTGCTGGGGACCTCTGTTCTGTGCCGGCTGGCCACGGGTACCCAGGGTCACAGTCGCTCTACGCATCACATGGGCCTGAAAGTTGCCTGTGGCGGGGTCACCGCACCTCCCTCCTGCGCCCCGGGGCCACACTGTGGGGGCCGTGGCAGAGTCACGCAGTGTCTTCCCATGTCCCATGCCCCCCGTGCAGGCGGGAGTCAGAGGGGAGGAAGGAATCCGGCCCAGCTAACAGGCAGCTCTGCATCCCTGGATGGGGAGCCCCCACTGTCAAGGCGCCCCGTCTTGGGGTTACACTTCCCATACCCCAGGACGTCTAGGGGTGCAGGGTGGGGAAGGCGATTCGAGCTGGGAGCTGCACAGCACAGCGGCTTTGATGTTTTCCAGCCAAGGGGAATCGGTTCGGCTCTCTGGAGGCGGCCGGGCGACAGGTGTCGCAGATACTGAGGTGCTAATTCACTCTGATTCTACCCAATCGCCTGGCAAGGCCATCTGTCCTGCTGGGGCCGGCGGGCAGGTGGCACGTGCGGTGTCTGTTGGGGATGGGAGTGGGCAGTTTGGGGGTGGCGTTCCTGCACCCATGTGGCGACGTCCCTGCTGTAGGTGACCCTGCTTGAATGCACCTACAACATACAGGAGAGACAGCAGCTGGGAGCCGCAGAGGAGGTGCCCCAGTAGGGGGACCCCAGAACCACGCCGAGGACGGCAGCAGGAACACGGGGCCCCAGGCTCGCCGGGCCGGCTCTTGGCGTCACGGAGTCCGTGCTGCCTCTGCCTCTGCCTCGCGCGGGGAGTGCAGGGTTAGCGAGGCTGGGACCCTCTCCCTCGGGAGCAAGCACCCCAGCAGGGCTGCAGAGGCGCTCTGAGGCTTGGCAGCTGGGGGGAGCCCTCGTGTGTCACAGGTGCCATCCTGGTCACAGGCGGGGTCCCCAGCTGGCCGCTTTCCACCGCGCTCCTCTCTGTCTTCAGGCACCTCCAGTCCCAAAGCCAGGCCGGAGGACACAGTTCAGTCCCGCTGTGAGCAGACAAAAGCACTGGGAGCAGTGGCTTCGAGGACGCTCGGGGACCAGAGTGTGATGAAGGCTCCCCTGAACCCCGGCTCCTAAACGGCAGGACTGCACACCCCACCCCACCCCAGCTTTGCACTGAGCCACCCCGGGGCGCGTGGTCTCCGTGCCCACTCACCCAGGGACTGTCCCAGTATGCCTCTGTCCCCAACAGCGAGACACCGGAGACCCCTTGTTCTGTTCCCAGGAGGGATCCAGGCTGGGAGGATCGGGGCACACTTGGGGAGTCTTCCCAGCCTTCCCACGGGTACAAGAAGTGGGGCCCGCGCTTGCCCACCTCCTTGCCCTGCCCCTAGGGGCCGGCTTTCTGAGAACTGCTTGCCCTCCCCTGCGGGCCGGCCCTGGTCCCTCGGGCTGGGTCCCGAGTCCCCGGTGGGCAGGATCCCCTGCCACTTGCGTGCCCCTAATGGCTGATGACTTTCAGTCTCTTTCCATGCATTCACCCTGGCTCTGCTCGTCCATTTAAAAAAGTTGGGTCGTTCCTTATTACTGGATTTTGGGGATTCCGTACACATTCTGCATCCAAGCCTTACAGACACGTATTTTAAAGTGGTTTCCTTCCACTCTGTGGCTGTTTTTCCAGGCTCTTAACGATATCTTTCAAAGAGCAGGAATATTTCATCTTGGCGAAGTCCATTTTAACCATTCATTCCTCCGTAAATCACGTTTTTGCTGGTGTAGCTAAGAGATCTCTTTACCCAAGAGCACAAAGGACTCCAGCTGTCTCAGGCTTCACGCTCAGGCCTGTGGACTGCTTCCGGGTCATTTTCGTAAAGCGGTCAGATACGGATTGCTCTTGAATCTTTGTGTTTTTTCATGCCAATAATCAAACATCCCAGCAAGATCGGCTTACGCAGATAGATTTGTAGAAAAGTCCTGCAGAGCTCATTAGACTCAGTGATTAGTTTGAGGGGCTTTATTGCCAGCTTCTGCAGACAGCCCTGTCACCTGGAGCAAGGACAGTTTTCCTCTCCGTCTCCGGTGGGCTCCTTTCCGGTCCCACCCCTGCCCGACCTCCCCAGCCGGGCCTCGGTCCAGTGCAGCCGCCACAGTGAGCTCAGGAGCCTGCTCTGGGTCTCGGGAACGCTGACCTCTCACTGCTAAGGAGCATCGCTGGGCTTCTCCTAGACTCCACTGAGGGGTCCCCTGCTCTCCTGCTTTGGGGACAGGTTTTTGTGTTTTAATGGCAGTTTTCACAAGAAACAGATGTTGGACCTCGTCAGATGATTCTTTTCGCACCTACTGAAATGAATTTCTTTTCTTTTTCCTGTTGCTCTTCTTCAGTTCGTCAGCATGGTTAAGGCTCCGGTTCGTTTTCTAGGGGAAACTGATTTGTGTCCAGGGGTTAAGCCCTGCTTACCCGTGACGGGTTCTGACCCTCTTCCTATTACTGGATCCAACTTGCTGAGGTTTACTCGGGCGGCTCTGGACAGGGTTCTGTGTCGTGGGTGAGCCGGCACACAGCAGGCGGCACAGCTCTGCTGAGCTCTGGCCTCTTGTCAGGCTGCGATGAGGTGCCAGCAAGGCTGGGGCCCTGCCCGACTGGGGCAGCACCAGTGCACGTGTGTGTGCGTGTGTGTGTGTGTGTGTGCAACACACATGTGGAGGGCCACGGGAGCACCAGGGGGTTTGGCTGCAGGAAGACCCCGAGGTCTGAGTCCAGAGCTGGGACAGTGACTGCCAAATCCCTCCAGCTCACAGCGGTCACAGGAATGTGGCGACAGGGTTAAGCCAGGGAGCTAATCTGGCTTTGATGCTGACCCTCTGCCCGCGGGGGCCTGGGGTCAGGACCACCCGCTCTGGCCCTCCTAGGCCCTTCCTGCTGGGCTGTGCTCCTGTGGAAGGGGCAAAGGGCTCCCGGGCACCAGGGCTGAGCCAGGCACAGCGGTGGCACCGAGCAGAGGCTGCGCCCTGGCCTTTGTGGGTCCAACTGTACCAGAAATGGATGCTGGGATGGCTGGGTGGCCTTGAGCATAAGGCAGGGTGACAGGTGACCAGGACACTGTGGAGAAGGGGTGGTTTGCAGCTGTGATCCCACTGAGAAGGTGACACAAGTGGCCAAGATGAGGGGAAGCCAGCAGTGGGCAGGCGCTACCCAAGGGCAGGGTGGAGGCCGAACAGAGCCCAACAGCAGGGAGCCACAGAGGGGCCGAGGGGCCACACCGGTGACCCTGGGTGGCTGTGATGAGACAAGTCTTTGAAGGGCTCAGGCAGAACAACGTGCCCTGACTTAAGCTGACACACGACAATGGGCGGGGCATGGTGGCCATGCCAGGGGACAACCCCTAAGAGCAGAGGCAGGAAGCAGCTTCTCGGGGATGGTGACAAAGGTCGGGTCTAGACTGGTGTGGAGGGCAGGGCCTGGGCTTGCAGATGCCGTGTGGGGTTGGGTTCGGGGAGTGCAGCACAGGGACGGGGCAGCGTGAGTGGCTGTGTTCTGTTTGGCTGGGCAGGGAGGCAGGTCTGTGGCTGAGCATCGGTGCCGGCAGGGACCTTAGTGCGGGCCTGTGCTGCGAGCCGAGTGGGTTTGCACTGTGCAGGAACAGACACGAGATGTGGGAGAGAAGGCGGGAAGGGGAGTCCGGCCAGGTGGGGCCCATGAGACGCAGCACTGTCCCCAGTGCTAGGCTGAGCTGCAAGACCTCGGGGCCTGGACCCTGGGGTTGAGCCCCAGGGCAGCTGTGAGGAAACGTGGGTGGGCAGGGCATCTTGGAGGCGGCTCTGCTTTCAGAGGACTGAGGGGGCCAAGACAGAAATGGGGCTCTTAAAATGGGGGAAATCGTGGGCCGGGGCAGGCCAGGGTGGGGACGGAGGTTGTGGAGCTGCTGGTGCAGGCCTAAGTGGGCCACAGGCCTCAGCGGGTGACCAGCTGGAAGGCCTGGGCAGGGCAGGGGCACCAGGTGGGCACAAGGAGGAAGACGCTGAGCAGAGAGGGCTGGATGGCGAGACTGCCGTGGAGACGCAGGCACAGGGCTTAGGGACAGCAGGCTGGTGGTGTGACCCGCAAGAGGCCACACTGAACCAGGGTTGGGGGACGAAAGTGTCCCCAGCCTGCTCCTGGTCACACGGGGCCTGGCATTCGGTCCTGGGTCTGCTGAGTCTGCTGCGCTGCCCTCCCTGATGGACAGAAAGCTTGGGGGCCCCAGGGTTCCCCTGCACATGACCTTCACCTTCGCCTCCCGGCCCGGCAGGACAGCCACACGGGAAGCTGTCTTCCTCAGGGACTCTAGGGACAGCTCGGTCTCTTGGCCCGAAGCCAGCGCCTGATGCAGGGGGACGAGAGGCCCGCAGGAACCCAGCGGCTTGTGGCAGTCTGCATCCAGGTCACGTCCTCTTGTCCTCCTGCACCTGCCCTAGCTGTGAGCCTTGCTCTGGCCGCTGTGGGTAACTTGGCAGAGCCCGGCCTGGGCAGGCAGGGAACCAGAGGAAGAGAGATGGGGGAGACTGAGGCCTTTTGAGATGGGGGGACCTGAGGGCAGGGGAAGCAGCCAAAGGGCCGAGGAGGGAAGAGGAGAGGGGTGAGGGCAGCACAGGCTGATCGGATTTATTATTTACAGGTTATTAATTGCTGGGAACGGATCGCAGCTGGAAACCCTCTCAGTGCCAGCTAAATGCCTCGGAGAAAACCCTATCCGCGTAGGACTCTGGGAACAAAGGCCCCACGTAACCCTCTCCCGAGGTGTGGAATCTCTGGGTAACTCAAGGACCTCACATTCAGACGCAGGAGTTGTGAAACCTGAATACCTGATGAGGTTATTTAACCGTCGCCGTGCTCGATGGCAGTGGAATGTGGCCTTCCCGAGCGTGAGTCATCAGCGGCAAAGCCTAGGAAAATACCCAAGTCAACCCAATTACACCACTATCAATCGCCGCATCGCCCTGCAACCCAACCCAATGAAACTGGAGAAGATGCCAGCTGGGCCGGGCCGGGCGGAATCCAGCTCTTGGCGAGGGCTGCCCGCCTGGCAGCGGCCTCTGTGGCTGTGCCAAGCCACAAGCCCTGTGTGGTCGATGTTCACAGAGGTGTCGGCCCCATTTCACAGCTTTGGAAACTAAGGCAGCCAGGGCAATGGCCTATCCCGCAGCACAGGCCACCACCACCACCCAGGGTCCCAGGAGAGTACTGGAAGAGGTACTGGCAGCTGCAGGTGACTGGGGGTCCTGTGTAGGCTGAGGCGGAGCTCCCCTGGGCGTGCTACCATCTTGGGCACTGGATTTGTGACCGCACATGGAGCACCCACTTGGCACCGGCACGTGAGGGCATCACCTGTCACAGCAAGCAGACGTCTGCTCAGGGTCACCAGTGAGTGGTGGCCCAGGCCCAAGCCCAGCCTGGCGTGCCCATCTGCGCGCGCGGGGCTCCAGCGCCTGCTTCCCGATACCCCGTGGGCGGAGGCCAGGCCGGCAGGGCGGGAGCCATCGGCCCACCCACGAGCCAGTAGCGCTTGGTGCTCTTAATCAGTAAGATATGTTTCTGGAATAAAAACCGCATCAGCATTTTCGTTTTCAAGTTCAGACAAGGCTTTTTCTTCTTCTTCCCCATTTTGCCTTCGCATGGGCGAGGCTAATCCTCGCTCTCGGCTGACGCGTCTTTAGGCGCACGTTTAAGCCGCGGCGAGGACGAGGACGAGGACGAGGACGAGGACGAGGACGGCGCGGGGAGTCTGCGCTGTGCCCGGGCCTCTTTCAGACTCCTCCAGTGCCACAGCCCGAGTTAGCGATGCAAAATTAAAGAGCAGCGACGGGTCCACGGCGGCCGCACCCACCCGGGTCCTGAGTGTCCCGGCCACGGCTGGGCTCCGGCCCCCTCCCTGGGGTCAAAAGCACAGGTCCTCCTGCCTCCCAACATCGCACCCCCGGCCCACAGATGGGGCTCCTGGGCCAGGAGGGCCACTGACACTGGACATGGGGGCAGAAGGGTGACCCTGTGGGGTCATGGGAGGGAAGGTGGGCCGGCGGGGGGCTGAGCCCCGGCGGGCGGGCGGGCGAGGTGTGAGCCAGCGCTGGGAAGCGCACTCCGAGGTGAGGCGCAGAGGGCTTTCCATGGTGACAGAGTAAATATTAGACCTCCCTCCCGCCGCCCTCGGGCTCCTCGGAGTCCATTCAAGTTAAAAGTCTCCGGTCCTAGACCTGAACTTGACTTCACTGAGTAGAAGGCGGAGGGTGGGGTGCAGGAAGCAAAGTGGGGCCATAAATTAGCCGGGCATTTGTCAGGAAGCTTCCCCGGGAGCGCGGCGCGCAGAGCCCCGGAGGCTGAGTCACCTGAGGCAGCAGGTGGAGACGGGCAGAGGCCTCGAGCGTGCAGGGGGCTCCGCCCGCGCCCGGGGCCAGCCCTGCCTGCTGGCTGTCAGGGGCACCCCTCAACTGGGACGCCTCACACCGCCGTGCGTGCCCAAGTGCCCCCTGGTGGGGGCGGGGAGTACTGCCGCCTGGGAGCCGGGTGCGCGCCCGCGCGCGTGGGGGTGCGCACAGGGAGGGTGCGCACAGGCAGGAGCTCCCGAGACGGGGCTGCCGGCCAGGTCTTTAGAGGGAGGCGAGAATGAAGGCAGAGCTCAGGGGTCCGGGGAAGCCCTCCGTCCTTCTCTCCAGTTGCAGCTCTGGTGTCTGCCGTGTTGGGGTCATGAGAATTCGGGCCCCTGAGCCATTGCGCTGTTCCCGCCGCCGTCCTTCGGAGCGCCGGGGCGGTGGTGCCGGCCCACGATCTCAGCTGCTGTGAGTGGCCGAGCCGCGGCCTCGCCGCCTTCTCCCGGACCGGCTGGCACCGCTCACGTCCTCTGATGCCGCCCGTTTTCTATGTGCTCCACTCCTGCTGTCACTGGTGCTGTGCTTTTCTGTCTTGTCTCACGTGACCTCATTTGTTTGGCTTCTTATGGTGGATCCTTAGATTGCTGGTTTTAAATTTCTCTTCTAACAGCACTTTAACGAAATGGATTTAAATTTTGGGGACAGGGTCTTACTTCGTAGTTCAGGTTGACATCACATTTGCTATGTAGTTTATACTGGCCTTGAACTCCTGATCCTCTTGTCTCAGTGTCCCACGGGCTGGGATTATAGGTGACAGACACTACACATGACGTGCAACATTAATTAATTAATTAACTTAGAGACAAGACCTTGCTACATAGTTCAGGCCGACCTATGAAACCTAGGCTGGCTTTGAACTCCTGGAGATCCTCCTGCCTCAGTCTCCTGAGTGCTGAAGAGTACAGGTGTGTCCCACCATGCTTGGCTACCCAGCACTTTAAACCTGTTTCCTTAAGCATTGCTCTAATTACCTTTAAAAATGTTCCTACATTGAGTTTACCCTGCTCAGACCAACATATTTCCAATTTGCTTTGCAATTTCTTTTTTGATCCTTCATGTGTTAAGTGTGTTTTAAATTTTCCAAGCATTCACATCTTTCCAGGCATCTTTGTTGCAGAATTTAATTGTTATGGCTGGAATAGAATTCTGTACATAAAATCATCCTCATTCTGCGTGGTTTCAAGCATAGAAACACCGCACTAGGACCGAGTTCTGAGTGACGTGAAAATGCAGATTCTAGAAGAAAAGCTCAGAACACCAATTCTCAGCAGGAAGCCTCTTCGCCTTCAAAATGGGTCAGAGCACGTAGGTTTTTCTCTACTTCAATTCTGCTGAAATTGTTTAAAGGAGCGATGTGATAGTTCCACTTTAAAGTCTAATATTGAAAATTTTATCATTTACAACTGTAAAACCTCATGATGGAGAAAATCCAGGTACCAACTGGAAATGGTGGTACAGATCTTTTCCAGTGTACTTTTGGCAAAATGTGGGCAAAAGGCTTAAAGTGGGCTCAACACCCAGTGAAAGGGTGTCAGGATGGGAAGTTTTCCTTTTACGCTGGTGAGGCGGAGCCTGCAGGAAGGCAGCAGGGTGGGTCAGGGCCGGGGACAGGGCAGGCTCCGTGGGGAAGGGTGGCGCCTGCTTGTAGCTGGAGGGCCCACATTAGCGTGCGCACGTCCCCCCTAGTCTCATGTACTGGGAAGGTGATCGTGTCACGGGCAGGTGCAGTTGCTCACCGGTGGGTCGGCCCACGAATAGGTTCACAGCCAATCCGCTGTCAGCAGGCAGCGGTCACCGCAGGGCCAGCTCCCTCTCCACTTCTCGGTCTGCTTCCTGGCCGCCATGATGTAAGCAGCTCCCTCCGCCAGACCCTTCCACCATGGACCGAAGACCTGGGTGTTCTGTCACAGCATCACGGAAAGTGACTGAAACATGTAGCTTCTTCATGGCAGCAGGAGGGGTGGAGCACAGGGAGCAGCTGGGAGAAAGGGTGCTGCCGTGCAGGGGCTCTGTGGAGGAGGAGAGGAAGTAGGGTTCGGGCGTTGGGGGATCAAGGCTTCGGATGCCCTGGGCAGGGCCAGGGCGCCGATGGCACAGCCTATGCAGGATGAGGGGCATGGTTCTGCACTCACGAGACCATGTGTCACATCTGCCACTTAAGACAGCTGTCTTGCACCTCTCTGCAGCTCAGCCAGGGGTTGCAGCCCATCCAGTCCTAGCACTGGACCAGGGCCTGGCGCCTGATATTCCTAATGCTCACAGAAGGACACGTGGCCACACATGTGAGCACAGGCATCGCCAAGCGTGGCCGGATGAGGCCATCCTGGGTACCACGGTGTCCCGAGGACGGTGACTCCCGAAGTTGAGCAGGTAGGTTTTGGGCTGGGTATCCTGGGAGACTCACGGCAGTGCTGCGCCCCCGGTGGAAGGCGAAGGTGGGTGACCCAGGTCCTTGGAGGACTTCCTGTGGGCATCAGGTGGGGCTGACAGAATGCGGCCTTCAGAGGGAGGACAGCACAGATGCTACCCTCGGGTGCCCAGGGGAACCGCCTCTTGGGGTCCAGCTTCCCTACAGTACTACCTGCAGGAGCCTCAGCACGAGAAGTGTGATTTTCTGAGCGCTTTGTCCTGCCTCAGCCTCCCAGAGTGCTACAGTTACGGGCGCCTGCTACCGCCCCCCCCCCCCCCAGCCTGCCACTGTTACTCTCCTTTGCCTCCCTGTACCCCTGTGAGCTGGGCCAGGGCGCAGGCGTGTTCTCCCTCCAACCTTCAGTCAATATGAGCACTGCGTGCTCTGCCGAGCAGCCGGGCTGCCACCGACAGCTGGCCTGAGGAGCAGACTCCTGGGCTCGCGGTTCTGGAGGCCGGAAGCCCCAGGCCGAGGTGTCGGCAGGCCTGCTTTCCTCCGAGCCCTCTCGGCCCGATGGCTACAGCTGGCCACCTCCACCAGGTCGTCCTCCTGGGCACTGGTGCCTGGCATCTTTGCACAGCAGGCTGCAGTCCTCCTTTTTTGTCCTTCTTCCTTTATGGTGCTAGCGATCAAGGCCAGGGCCTTGCACGCGCTAGGCCAGCGCTACACCCCGAGCGGGGCCTGAGGCCCCGGCTGCCTCTCAGGAGCACGAGGCAGATGACCAGGGCCGCCCAGGCCGCGTCTCCACGCCCGGCCCCCCTCTGAGGTGTCAGCACAGGGCACAGGCACGGTCCCACCTGCTACTAAAGCCTCAGAGGCAAAGTCAGTCTCGGCCCTGTTACCATGCCACTGTGACTTAGCACAGGGAAGTTCGGGCACCGTCACTGTGACAGTAAGTGACCTGTTTCCAGATGAGCCAAACCCCGTTTTCCACCTTCAGACCGGCACTGCAGTCTCTTGTGTGTCTTCACCTGCCCACCGCCAAGGCCTGGACCTGAGGGGCTCCGTGATGCTGCAGGCCAGGTCCTCACAGGTCATCCAGGCTCACCTGTCCCTGGACGACCCTGTCTGTCCTGCCCAGGTGAGAACACTGCACACCACCGATTCCCACTCTGGGAGTCCCTCTAGGGGAGCCGATGTTAAGGAGGGCTGTTTTAATGATGTACACACAGCACCCGTGTGCTGTTTGCCTTCTACACAGCGGAGCAACTTCCCTGATTCTCTCAGCGTGCGAGCTCAGGTGTACGGACTTCATGTGACTATCTGAGAAGTTATTTTCACACCAAAGTCCCAGGACGGCAAGCAACTGTGAAGGTGTCACTGGAGATGCGACTTTCCCTCCTGCCGAGCCGGCTCAGCCCGTAGACATCTGCAGGTTCCTGTGTCGCCTCAGGCAGGACCGTGGCCTGCTGCTCCTGGTGTGGAGATGAGTTCGGGCGCCAAGTAAACAGTAAACTCCTGTCAGCGCGGTCACAGCACACCCACCTGTGGGAGACCGTCCTGGGTGTGTCTGTGGAGAGGAGCACGTGGACGGGGCCAGGGCATGGGCACCCCCGACCAGCGAGGGGACCCAGAGCCTCTGCCCAGCAGCTGGAGCAGAAGCTTCAGTTTCCTAGGCTGGGCCTGGGCCTCAGCCTGGCTCTAAGACAGGAGCCCACCCCACTGGCTTCCCCACGGCTCTCATAAGCCCCCAGCAGTGAGATCTGTTACAACAGCGTCATCCTGGCACGATCGACAAACAGATCTCACACAGGCGGCCTCCAGAAACAGCCCCAGAGGTGGACTCTGCTGACAGGGCTGCCGCTCCCCACGCTCTGCGGGCCTCCCAGCCCTTGCTTCAGAGAACCTTAGCTGGCACCCTTCTCATCTCTGTACAATTTACAATTTACAAGTTATTTCCTACTTTTTGTTACCTGTATGTATAAATTCAGTAAGCCCTCGTACACCCGACCTTGTATTCAGCAACCTTGCTGCATCCATCCTAGTGTGTGTGTGTGTGTGTGTGTGTGTAGTTCCTACCTTCTGTTGTATTAAAGGTGGAATTCAGGGAATGCTGAGCCCCTTTACCGTCACCTCCTGTGAACGCAGAGCTTGAACTCGCTCCAAGCCCGACAGCTCGAGTGGACACTCGTTTCCCGTCTACGTCAGTTCCACTTGGCTATCTTAGAAGCATCTCACACTGAATCTGTTCGAAGTTGAATTCTGTCCGGACTCTGTTTTCCTCAGTAAGCACACTGAGAACGAGTCTCGGCGCTGGCTCCCTCCCCCGGGACGGAATGCCCCTGCCCAGCTGTCCGGGAGACCTTGGAGTTACTCGCTCGCTCCGTCCCCCGGCCTTCTGTAACTGGCCCTCTCCCACAGTCTCCGGTTCCCCCAGCATGAATCAGTTCTGGTCTCTCTCCCTGCCCACTGCCTCCGGGCTGGCCTAAGTCACCCCATCAAGGGCCCCTGAACTATTTCTCTTCCTCGTCTACAGTTCACATTCTAACAGGCAGCAAGACTGGTTGTTTAAAGCTTTCAGCTGGGTCCTTGTCACTCCACTGCCAAATGGCCCCACGGTGGCACAATGCACTTGGGAGTAAAATCCGTGCCTCCTGTGGTGCCCGACCCTGACCCTGCTTCCCTCTGCCCGGCCCTATACCCCTGTTCTCGTGGCCCCAGGCTCCGGCCCCACTGGCCAGCCTGCTGGTCCCACGGGCTGCACCTGCTATGCCCTGGTCCTCTAAGTACTCCCCGGGCCCTTTGTGGGTGGCCCATAGCTGCCACCAGCCTTCCCTTCTTGTGCTTCCCGCAGAGCTGGATGCGCCTGTCTCCTGGGATGTCTCTAACAGCCTCACCAGGACACACAGCGCATGAAGCCAGGGATGTGTCTTCTGGCTCATGGCTCTACCCTGTGCCCACTTGAGAAGCAGCTTAGGCTCAGAGTGGCGAAGCAATTTGTTCAGAGCCACACAGCTGGCGAGAAGATTCCTGAACCGTGATCCGAGGGTCAAGCGGATGTTCTCCCCAGGGCATCCCTGCTCCACGTCCAGGGCAGCCTGCTCCAGGCGTTTCTGTGGCACTCATTTCCCTGGCTCCCAGGAAAAGAAACCACAGTCCCTGTCACTCCCTCCCTTCCAGTTAACTGTGCTGTTCAGTCACTAAGCCTGCGCTGCCGTGCCACCTTGGGCGCAGATTTCCCCTCCACCCGTGGGATCAGTATCAGGACCAAGTGCTTTATGCCTACTAATCTGTTTGTACTGATTCGTTCCTTCGAACCCCACCTTCAGGGCTAGGGTTGGGGTGCAGGGAGCTGGAGAGCACACACAAAGCTGCCGGGGGCACAGGGACCCACATTCTAAGCCTCCTAGAGCATTAGCACATCTGCTGTGAAAACAAACAGTACAATTCCACGAGTGAATGATGAACGCGCACTGTGCTCTTTAAACAGAAAAATTAACTTGATGTTTGTAATTTACGGGTTACTTTAAGCACACACAAGACCTTTGTCAAAGTGCTCCTGCCTTTCCCATAGACAGAAGTGCCTCTGGCTGGGGGACCGAAGGCTGATGGAGGAGTGGACACTGCATGTTCACAGCTAAGCCCAGCTCAAGCACTGTGTATTGCAGATAGCACTGAATTCTTATCGTGCAGTATTTGACCTTAAAATAAACACAGATGCAAGCAAATGTGTACTCAGGAGGAAAACAAATCCTGTGTCACAGGGAAAAATGAACACTACAAACCAGGTTTGGAACTGTGTTTGTGCGTGAGTGTTGCTGAAGTGGTCAGGACCTTGGACAGCGCCCCGTGGCCTTGTCCAGTCAGAGGGATGGCTTCCCACCAGGTCAGCCTTTGGTCCTGCCTCAGCCATGCTGCAGTTAAGGATTCTGTTTTAATTTGACTGTTTCTCATGTGCGAACTGAGTATATGCAGAACTTGCTACTGATGGCAAGTACTTTTTCTTTCTTTCTTTTTTCTTTTTTTTAATATTCCTCCCACAGAGCTCCGCATTTTGAAACAAAACACTTCACTCGAGTACAGGCATTAGAGTGAGAAGTCTTTTGACTAAACTTCAACACCAAGTGATGTTAGAGGAGTAGATGACTCCAAACAGAACGGGTGTAAGACCTTCATTTCCGATTGAAAACTGGCTTACTGGTAGCCCCTCCCCCCATCACTTTTCCCTGTCCCATTTTGCAGATAGACACCCTTTAGTAGCTCCCAAACTACATGGTCAGATCAGAAAGTACTGACCAAAAAACAGTATGTTTCGAAACAGCCCCGGCCCGTGAGAGGGGCCACGCGGCCCTGGGTGCCCGTGCAGGGTTAAAGTGATGAAAATCAGTATCTCCGCGCCCAGCACCACACACCACCGCTGCAGACGCGCCCTCAAGCAGAGCCTTTCTCCTCGGCCTCCTAAGGCGAAGCGGACCCAGCTTTGTCAGCTTGCTCCCGACAACAATGCGGTCACGAAACTCACTGTGACCGCTCTGCTCTTTACAAAGGCCGCGGGCTGGCCGCTTTCTTCCCTTCTAAATGCCCGAGGAGGCGGTGACTTAATCCTCAGTGGCGCGCTCGGCGAGGTTCCCAGGAGCGCGGCCGCTTCGGGAGCGCAGGCGGCTGTTGTGCTTGGGAATCCATCTTCAGAGGGAATCAAAGCGCCCACAATGCAGCACCGCGTGTTCTCACCACGCCAGCCCCACATTTCCTATTTAGCGGCCACAGGGCCACACCCCGCCCTGCGCTCTCACAAGGCTGCCTTTTATCGATGTGTGTTTGTTATTGGGCAGCTCACAGCGATGTGTTTGTGCGATTCCGCTGGTGTGCACACATCCATTGAGCGGCAGAAAAGAATGTCTACTGCAAACTCGTTAAGAGGAGAAAGGGCTCCCACAGCTTCGCCTCTGGCCAGGCTTCCAGGGAGAGGAGTTGTTTAACTCTTCATGGTCCAGAACGCCCGACTTCTTGGCATAGTTTACATTTTGTGTGGCTTCTTTGCAGATAAAATGCCACAGACCCTGGGGGGAAATGGTATTTCACAGAGTGCCACAATCCCAGAAGCTGCCGGCGCACCCTAGACGGTCCTGGGAACACTGTGACGGCCTTCCGCACAGGCTTGCGCTGATTCTACACAGCAAGGTAAGCACGGCTGCCAAGAGACTCAGAAACTTTTTGTCTCAGAAGCATTTATTTTAGCTTATAAACTTCTGGTCGCCTCTCCACTGTGCTTGTTTTAGAAGTTTTAACACGGGAGGTTACGCAAAATCCCGACTCAAAAGTGTTGTGCTAGGCAATTCCGGAGTGACCTCTCGCTCGTGGTGCCATTCCTGGCGACCTGAGCTGGTACAGAGATGGTTCCACTTGACAGGAGTCGCAACAGAGGCAGGGAAAGGAAGCCAGCTACCAAGAAGAGCATACAAATATTGTCTCCTCTGCCACGGGCCATGCGGGTGGGGGAGACCCAGGCAGCGCCCCTTAGCTGGACGGGGGAGCTCCCTTCTGAGGTGACGGGGTGGGAAGAGTTAAGGGCCTGCATGTCCCTGCCCGCCCACTCCCCTACATTCCAGAGGACAGGGCTCGCTGACAAGGCAGCACCTAACATGAAGAGGGTGGGTTCTCGAACTAATTAACTGGAAATGAGTCTTGTCAATGTTTTGGAAAGGCAGAAGGGGTGAAAGAGCCCGCTAGAATTAATCACAGTGAGAAACTACTTCAGCTGGCTGCCAGCATTCAGAAAACCCAACGAGGAGCGGCGAGGGGGGGAGGCGAGGGGCGAAGCGGACGCCCATCTGAATCAGTCGCCGCACAGAATGCACGCAGACGGCCCAGGCTTTGACAAATGGGGGCTGCGGCCCCGAGAGAAGGTTTATTATCTGCTGCCAGTTAAGCACAGCCTACGACTCACACGCACACGCTATCCAGGGGACAAAGGCACACAGACAGTTACACTGATGCACAGAGAGAAAGCAGGATGCGAGCACCTTCCCCTGCAGCTCGCAGTGGAGCTCTATTACCTAAGGGCTCACAGCTTCCCGGATGTGGACGCTGACCCCGTAAACCGCGAGGAGGGAAATCCCACGACACAGACCATGAGCACTCAGACGTCTGGGTGGAGAGTTCAGTCACTAAGAAGAAAAGGCAGCACAAAAAAAAAAAAAAAAGAATCGTGAGACAGGACAAGAATGTAGCAGGCAGAACAGCGCTCACATTGACCAACAGAGACCGGAAAGGGCACGTCCAGTGTCATGCAGTCCGTTTTCTGCTCCTTTAACAGCAGCGAATGTCTTTTAGCCCATGTATAATGTTTCCTTTCCCTTTGGCAGTACTGGAAAGTGGACCCAGGGCCTTGCACATGGTAGGCAAACGCTCTTCCAGCTGAGCCACACTCTCGGGATTTTACTCTCCCCGCTCTCACGAGGCCTCCAGGCTGCCTAAGCTGGCCTCACACTTTGTGCCCCTACTCCCGCCGCCAGGTGTGCACCACTAGCCCCAGCCCAGCCTGCGGATCAATTCTGATACCCTTTTTATATCCCCCCCGGAAGAGCTTGAAGAAAGTGCCAACATAAAGCCTGAACAAAATGCCATTCAAAGCCCTCTTCAGGGTCTCTGGGGGGTCACACTGAAGGGTGACACAGGGGCAGCTCTGTGACAGACCACAGGACAGCTCGCATAAGAACACTTACTGCGGCGGGGGGTCACATGTGGACTTCAAGATCAGCTTCTCCCCCCGCTTTTCAACTTCGAACCCCATCTTCTTCAGCAGAGAGGCGTCTGCCAGGCCCTGGTCCTCCAGCTTGGCGATCAGATCCTGGTTCTGGCTGTTGTCCTCGGTGAGGTTGCGGATGGCGTACACCACCCACTGGGTCAGGACTGCGGCTCAGTGAAGGAACCTCAACGGCACACAGGGACCGCCAGGGCAGAGCAGGGGACACAGAGACATTGGTGACCACTACTACTGGCAAGGTTTCCTGGAGGCTGTACACCACCACCGTGTCCAAAGCAGAAAACATGAAAAGACACAGCACACGCACACACACAGCTGTGTCCAGCACGTGTGACGCCCAGTGGCCAATGGCTGGAGCAGCCCCCAGGGTGCTGTGAATGAATGAATGCATGCATGAGAATAGTGAGTGCTGAGGTTTATGGACATGAGAGGATTCTACAGACATGTTCCCAGAGATGCTGGGGTACAGATAGGAAGTCGTTCTGTTTCAGTAAGAATGGTTTCCCAGGAGTCACTGCAACCTAACCATTCAGCGTCTGAGACGAAGCTATACAGCCTTTGATGGATTTCAACACTGGAGCTTTAGAAGCGTGTGACAGTCACTGCTTGCCTGTGCCGGGCCCTCACCTGAAACATCCCGCTCCCTGTCCTGCTCCTCAGACCACAGATGGCCAGGAAGACAAGGGCACGCTGCTGGGTTATTCACCAAGGAATTGGGCTTAGCTGCCAGGAACTGTGGGGCCCCAGGAAACCAAGCGCCACTGCGCCTTCTTCAACAAAGGATCTCATGGAAATCGGCACAGCAGGCGCGGGGACACCTGACGACCACTGAGGATGAGCCTGGGGATGTGCCCAGTCTGGGGAGACTGACAGGGCCAAGGGTGGGAGACTCGCCAACTTCTTCCAGAGAAAGTGGCCTGTCTGCCCACTGGCAGGGGCGTCGGGAGAGAAAGTCCTTCCCCCCATGATGACCAGAGGCACCCACAAGGTCCCAGATGCACTGCTGGAGAGCCAGGCTCTGATCCGCCCGCAGCCCCCACGCCATGGGGAGGACTGGTTCCGGGATGCTCGTACTTCCCCAGCCTGAGAGAGAAGCATCCCCAAGCTGCTGGATCCTTCCTGCAGTATCTGGGAGAGGGAATGAATTAAACTGGCTTTTGTTTGTTTTTCATTCTGGTTCAGTAACCTCACAGAAAGCATGAAATGAAATTTCCACCAAACGCCAGCAGCGGGGCAGCTGTACATCCAGGAGGGTCTGGAGGTTTCCAGACCCGGAAATGCACCCCGAGTTGGTTTGTAAACCTGCTGAGCCCTCTTGGGGGTCTGCAGGGACATTCTGTAACCCCAAAGGTGGCCCAGTCTGGCCTGCCTATCTCGGTTCCCCCAACCAGGCAGGCACGACATGGGCACATGTGTGTGTGAGGCCTCAGGGCCTGGACACAGGGCCTGGCACCAGAAGAGGCCAACCGGTGACCACTGAGTGAACGGCCCACTAGGCCTTTGAAGGTTTATCAGCGTAACCACTTGTGTGCATAAGTGACCCGCCTTGCCCAGATGGCCAAGGAGAGGGAGCGCAGATGGCCGTCTGCCCAGCGGATGCTGACTCCACACTGAGTCACCGTGGTGGGGATGTCCTTTCTCATCTGGCCATTTGTCTGTCACCCTTCCTGACAAAGCCCAGGCCCTTTATATAGGCCTGTCCCTTCTGTAGAGGCATAAGCCCTGGAGGTGTTCGCATGCCTAACGCCTCACTCTGAACACTGCCCTCTGTCCCATGGTCACCAATCCTCCCACTGCACCAGCACAGGGAACAAGGTGACGTTTCTGGTGTCAGGCACTCCCTTCACACAGCGAGGCACGGTTCACATGGGCTGACACTACTGTCACATGGACTCACTTTCTCCCTTTCTGCAGCAAAAAGAGCGCCAGTGACTAGGACGAAAACTGACTGAGCGCCAATATCTGCAGGGCAAATTCAGACACGGAGACGGGTGAGGGTGGTGTGTAAAGGCGTAAGAACTACAGGTAAATACAGGGTGCCCTGTGCTGCTCCGAATCACGTCTGCGTCCCAGGGTATATAGGGCTGGGCAACCATCCCATCTCCCAAGCCCTTGGTGTTTCTGCAGCACTCCGGACCCTCCCACCAGCTCTCTGAAACAGTGCGCCCCGAGATCTCCAGCTGCTCTCCCATGCCACAGCGTGGCGCCCCCCTCCTGCCTGCGGGGGACCAGGAAGCCAGTGCGAAGGGGAACCCTGGGAGATGCAGCCCAAGAATGTCTGCCCCCAGCGCCAGGCATGAATATGCAGGGGTCTTTATTAGGAGCGGACAGTGGGCGAGGACCTGGATAGTCCAGTCTGCAGGGTCACGCCGGAGATCTCCGCAGGTCCCAGTTCATATCCACACTGCTCCCTTGTTCCCTCTCTAAAGAGACAGCGAGCCTGAAAGAGTGGGGGAGAAAATCTAACATCCCCGAAGTCTCTAATCCCACCAGCACTTGAAGCGCTTCATTGTGTGCTTGGCTCTGGACACAGGGTTCCTAGCGTTTCCATAGCTACTGCAGAGAAGGCAGAAGCCTACTGCAAAGCTGTCTCGAAAGAGCCTGCGACGGGTGCTGAGGGCTCCGCGGGTGGCCACGCCTCAGCAGAACCCCTGGGGTCGTGACCTGGGTCCCAGGGACTGCGGCAGCCAGGAAGGGAGCAGCTGAGACCCCTGTGCCCGAGCAGTGTATGGGGACCCACGTGGTGGCCACAGGGGTCAGACTGAGCCGTGGCCGTGGAGCAGAAAGGGGACGCACAGCACAACTGGGAAAACTCCTCGGCCAGCGCAGAGCTGGCCGGTGCATCTTGGGCCAGGCGCAGTGCTGACGGGCAGGCAGCGGGGTTAAAGGGCAGAGCCGGGACTGTCTGTGACAGTGAGCTTGTCTAACTCGAGGCGATGTCTCCCCTCGGCCTCAGGGTCTGCTGCTGACCAGAGGAGGCCCATGGCGACCAGAGAGGCTCTGAGAACCAGGCCCCACATGCCAGTTGCATGCACCAAAAATACTTTCACATATGGCAGTAACTTGGTTCACAAATACTTCTGTTTGTGAACAATTCAGTTTGGGAACAGACACATACAGCAAAATCTGTCTCCTCTGTGAACTCTCCACCAGGTGACAAACACAGACTTGGCTGTTTTCCCCAGAATTGTGGAGGCACCACTGTATTTCTTTAAATCCTTACACATTTTAATGACTGGAAAAAACCAAAAGGGCAACAGTCATTTGTGACACACAGAAAGAAAGCAATTCAAATTTCAGCGTCTGCAAATTTCTGTTAGTGCCGGCCCGACCTGGTCACCTGCACACCGCTCGTGTCCGCTCTGGGGCGAGGACAGCAGTGTGTGGCTGTGAGGAGCCCGGGCCACAGTCAGAGCCGAGCACCAAGCGGTGGTCCCTGCGGGAAGCCACTGACTCGGACAGCAACAGGGAACCACCCGGCGGCCCGTGCCGAATGAATACACACACGAGCTGCTGGAAACATCAGGATGAAACAACATTTGAAACAAGATGATCTGTTAAAAGGTCATGTTACTTTCCCTACACAGACACCTATATGTATTTTCACACCACATAAGTGGGCACTTCTGGGTGACACGTATTTACGTTTGCCTCCAGCACATAGGTTTGAAAGCTCTCTTAAGACAACAAACACGTGGAGCCAAAGGACAAAGATGCTGTGTGACCTCCCGGATGGTGGGGCCCTCGGGATGCTGGTCTGGACGGGCAGGCATCGGGGAAGCCTGCTCCCTGGGCCTGTCCAAGCCAGGCAGCTGCTCACGTGGCTTTGAGGCATCTTCTAAGCACAGGTGAATGGTAAACACCTCTGCCATAGCTCAGCGAGAGCAGGGTCTCCTCTGACCATAGTAACCCTGCAGGCTGTCTCAGCGGGAAGTAGCGGTTCAGGTTTACACTGTTCTGAAGATGCCTTCCAGGAGTAAAACCCAACATGCCGACTGCCATCGTGCAAAGTGGTGGCACTGACCAAAGCAAGGGGAGGAGTCCTGGCTGCCCTCCAAGCACAGGGTCTGCCCACTGGGAGAAGAGCCTGCCCAGGGCTGCTCAGGGAGGAGGGACCCTCAGGGACCCTCGTTCCCTCAGAGTGGGAGTGAGTCAGGGTGCAGGGGGTGCAGAAAGGCTCACAGCAGGAGGGTAGCCAAGAAGCCATAGTGGTGGTGGGACAGGAAGCCCTTTCTTGGGCGCGGGAGGTGCTTCCTGGTTATCTAAGTTCTGCCACCATCATCACCTGGGGACAGGGGACAAGCCCTGCGCCTTGAGAGCTCATTTCCTGCTTTGTATTTTAACACCGGGGAACTCGTGTGCCTTGAGTGTTCAAGGACAGTGCTGCATGCAGCCCACGTGTCTCACAGCACATGAAAAATCAGGGCCACGACCACGTGTGAGCGCGCCCTCCGACCTGCCCACTCCTGGCTGCCTGCCAGCCCTGTCAGTGCTAAGGAAGCTCAGCAGGGTGGATGCGGAGGCGATTAACTGCCAGCTTTGTAAATGACAGGTCACCACAGGCAGAACACAGCACTGCGCTTGGGCCGAGCACAGGCGTGCAGAAGGGGGCAAGGCTCGGCCCCCAGAATTCCTGCTGCTCGGCACGAGGCTGCGCCTCCCAGGCCAGGTAGAGACAGGTAATGTGCGTGTTCTCCAAGAACCCAGAGGAACAGAGGGGCCTGGACACAACAGTGGACTACACAGCTGCCCCTGGAGAGGGGACACCTCTGTCACAGCACTGGGGGGGGAAGGTTGCATCTGCTGTCCTTGTCACACACCCTCTTCCCCTAAAATGACCTCTGGAGGGAGAGCTCCGATGCCCCACCCGACCCCTTTTGAGGCTCCAGTTCCCGGAGAACCTCGCCAATGCCCCCCACAGGCTCCCGCCCACCCCAACCCCAGATGTGCGGTGCCCAGGGCCCAGGGTGTGAAGGTGCAGCGGCCCAGCTGGCAGTGAGGTCATGGAAGACAACAGGGTTCGCTTGGCCAGCACAATCGCCACACAGGCTGCCCACTCCAAAGCCTCTGCGGCCGGGAGGCGCGCTCACAGGCACCTCGCACCCACGGACTTTGGTGGCACAGGGTCCCATGGTGCTGAAACTAATTTGCCTATTGCGTGTGCTGGAGTCACTTCACCACCCACTTCAAAGCCGCTCTCGGGGGATGCAGTCAAGGTCTGGCATCCCTATCACACTGCAGGTTTCAGGATCAGAAACAACCCACACCACTTCTGACCCACACCACAGGACAGCACCCGGCCGCCAAGCGGTTCCATGTGGGTTTGGGCACACTCCAGTGTCACATCTGAGACTCTCCGGGGCCGCTGCACGTGGCACAGTCAGCAGAGTACCAACACTGCATGGCACACGGCAGAGGCTTAATACCCACTTGAGAGGAGCCCACTGGGGTGGGGCAGCCTCTGCTATGCCCACCTAGTGCCACTCGTCACTCTGAGGCACTGCACCACCTTGGACTCCTGCCTTATCTGTCACCATTGATCCTGGCACAAAAGGGGCAGGAACAATTTAATGCTGTGCCCCTTGGTGCCTGGTTCTGCCTACTGGTAAGGAGAGCTGCCCTGGTTCTCTGTGACACCTGGCTCGGGGCACACCGCTTGGTAACTGCCTATGGATACATAGCATGATGATGGGTTGGCCTTTGTGCTTATTGCAGGGACCATTTGGGGACAGCAGGCTTCTAGCACAGATGAGCACAGCTAAGTGACCCAGTGGCTGGGCTTTACGCCTGACGGCAGAGCTATTTAGAGTGGAAGGCAGGGGAGACACCGCAGAGACTTGGGACGCCCGAGGCCAGGTGAGGAGGGTGCTTCTAAAGGATGTGGCTTCTGAAAGCAGTCATCAAACAAGCCGGCCGGCTGCAGCCCTGGCCACTCTCAGCGCAGGTCCTGGTTTGCAGTGCACCCTCCATGGGAACTAACAATATGCCCATCAGCTGATGGCCACCAGCAATGACCGGAAAGCATCAAGGACAACAGAAAGCGGCGCGTGGCAGAGCTCGACTTTCACCTCAGCACCCTGCACGGCTGAGGAGGAGGACAGCAAGTCCAAGCCCAGCTCGAGAAACCTGGCGAGCCTCCGCCGCAAATAAAAGAGACAAAAGAGGTTGGGGTGTAGCTCAGAATGAGAGCTCTGGGCCCGATTCTCTGTATCACAGACAGAACCAGAACAGCAGAGGTGGTACCCTGGGACCACGTACTGGCACAGAGTATTCACAAAAGCCTCACCCTACAAATGAGAGAGCAAAGTGGACACAAAGACGCCGAGGGGCCTGTCCAGGGTCACACCACGCACAGCGGGATGCCGAGCCAGGACACAGGCAGCGTGGGTCCGCCTGGCTTCCTGCTCACAGCAGCCGATACCCGGCTCTGGGAGGGGACTCAGGACAGTCCTGCAGTCACCCTGCCTGCCGGTTTCTACACCACCTAGAAATCAAGGAAGACAACGGCTGGCTGTGTGACCCTGAAACAGGTTCCTTTCTCTCCGAGAAAATCTTGTGTGACAAAACCAACCCTGAGCCACCGGCCATCAAGGTCCAGCTCCGCTGAGCACCTGTGGGACAAGCTACTATCTAGCAGTTGAAAATGAAACGGAAATTGGGAGTTGGAAATGGACGTAATCCCATTTAATTTTCAGGAGATTAGTGTTACTCTCCCACTAATGACATTTGGGAATTAAGAAAGTATAGCCAAGGGTCAAAAGCAGCTCTGAGCGGGGATTAAGTGGGGAACACAGACAGCGGGGAGCTTCTGGCGATTTGCATGAGCGACAAGATGCGGCAGGCGCCGACGGGCCCGGGGCGCGCCTGCCCTGCATGCTCCAGGGCCGGGCAGCTGGCACACTGTCCCTGCCCAAGTCACTGGCCCCTGGGTGGTCCACGCTGTGAGTCACCAGGCTGTGCACAGCCGCTCTTTCCTGTCCCCTGCGGCCCCCCCACCCTGCGCCCCAGACCTGAACAAGCACATGTGCACACGTGCAGACAAAAGAGCCCCAGGGGCTGCACTGGCCGTCACCGGTGCCGTCTGCTTCTGCTTCCAGCAGGAAGAGTGACACCAGCGTGCAGGCAGCCTGCTCTCTTCCCACGTAGAGGGAGGGCGACACCTGCGGACCATCCTCTCCCAGGAGGCGTACTCCTGCCTTCATCTCTGCAGGTGGACAGCCTGGCCGGACATCTAGGACATGCAGAGTCCAGCAGTCCCTGGAAATCAAAGCCACTGGAGATGAAGTCAACGCCACCATGGCCCCGGTAAGGCATGAAGTTTTAGAACTTCATGGACCCTTCTTAGGACCCTTCCTGGGCCACTCAGACTCTTTTAGGATTTCCAAAGTACCCACATTTTTCCTTGGGCGGGGGGTCCATTCAATCACAGAAATGTTAACACTTTAACAGGCTCTTCCTCTGCTCTGCCAGCCACGCCCCTCGCTCCTACACTGAGACCACGGCAGGGGATTTAGGTCTGGACGACAGCCGAAGCTGCTCAGCACACACCCGTGTCTCCAGGATGGGACCACGACGCAGGCATCCGTTTAAAGGACACGAAGCCAAATCTTCTTTTCTCCTCCACATTTGTACTGTAGTAAAATGCGTACTCACTGGGCATGGTGGTGTAAGCCTGTCACCCGAGATCCCAGGGAGGCCGAGGCAGGCTGTGGAAAGGTCCAGGCCTGCTGGAACATCTCAGCTCCGTCTCAAAATGAAGTAACAAAGGGCTGGAGTGTAGCTGAGGATTACAGCACTTGCCCAGCACGTGCCGGTGCCACAACAAACAAACAACAAAATACAGCACACAACCACGTCTAAGTCCATCCAGGCTGGTGAATGTGCCCGTGGTATTACGTATGCTTCACCACCGCCTGGCTGCACAGCCCTTTTAATCTCCTAAGCACCTTTCTGCTTCCTACTTCTATGATTTCAACGTCTCTAAGTTTCCCTGCTAAGTAGGCCCACGTGGGGCCTGTCTCTGCAAGTGGCTTACCGCTCTCCACCTAATGTACTTGGTTCACCCACACTGCAGCACGTTAGAAACTGGCTTCCTTTTAAAGGCTGCGTAATGTTCCACCGCTCGGCCAGACCTCAGTCTGCCTGCCTTCTTTCCTTCCTGCACACGTGGGTGCTCCCCGCCTCGCTACAGTGCTCAGCGCTGCCATGAACACAGGTGTTTAACTGTCCCTTTGAGGCCCTGCTTTCAACATTTTAGCGCATGTATCTGGCAGCAGAATGGCTGGGCTGCATACTCATTCTAGAGTTTTAACTTTCTGTGAAAATCCTGTGCTTCTTGGTGGTGACACACTCATTCCTACCGATGGTGCACAAGGGTCACAACTTTGCCACCTTGTTGCCAAACGTTAGACTTTAAAACCAAGGCCACCCTCAGTGGGTGGTATCTAGCCACAGTGTCCATGTACACTGCCCTAAGGAGCAGAAACACGTGCCTATCGGCCATTTGTGTAGCATCCTTGAAAGAAATCTTTGTTTACTGGCTGGGGATTTAGCTCAGCGGCAAAGCACCTGCTTGGCAAGTGATCCCCAGTACCAAAAAACAAAAGTTTATTCTGATTGTTAATTCCCTAACAGATACATGACTTGTAGGCATTCTCTCCCACTCCAGGGTTAGCCTTTTTACCATTTATATTTTCTTTTGATGCAGAAAACAAATTCTCATGCAGGCCAATTTTTAAGTTCCTTTTTACATCCTTTGCTTTTGGTGTCAAAAACCAAGAAGTCATTGCCAATCCTAATTCATTCTGAGTTTACACTCTGTTATGCTCAGGTCTAAGTTCTACTTTTTAACTTTCATGCACAGCATTAGACAATGATCCAATTTCGCTGTCTAAATATGGCTTTTCCATTTTCCCAGCACCATGTGTTAGGAAACCTGCTTTCCAACCGAATGACTCTGCAGCCCTGTTTAAGCCATGTAGCATGGTTTATCTGCGGGCTCTATTTGCTACCCTACTGGTCTGTTTTATGGCAGTACCAATTGTTTTCATTCTTCATAGCTTTGTCCTGAGTTGCAAAAGCTTTTTCTTTTCTTTTCTTCTTACATATTGTTCTGACCATTTGATATCTCTTGAGATTCCATACAAATTTCAAGAGGGCTTGTTCCAACTTACACAAAAACATCACCAGGGTACCGACATGGAAGCAGTGAGTCTGCACAGTGCTTGGCAAGCGCTGACACCTCACCAACTTGCATAAGACTTCCCATCCGCCGGGTGTGGTGGTGCACACCTGTAACCCCAGCACTTGAGAGGCTGAGGCGGGCATCACCTTAAGTTTGAGGCCAGCCTGGGCTACATAGTTTTTTCAAGGCCATTCTGAATTACATAGTAAGACTCTGGCTCATAAAACTAAAAAACAAAACGACAACAACAACAGAAAAACTTCCAATCTATGATCATGGGATGCACCTGCATTTATGTCTGTTTTAATGAGTTTGAAGCTTTCATTGTACAAGTTAAAACAAGTTCCTAAGTATATCATTATTTTTGATGCACCTGTGAAAGGAATTATGACATTTCCTCTCAGATTGCTCTGTACACGTTAGTGTACAGAGATGTGCCTGATTTCTGTGCGCTGGCTGTGTCTCGGGACGTCGCTGAGTACACTGCAGTGCTGCTGTGGGCTGTTGGCGGGCTCCTGCTCATCCACCGTCTGTTCACAGAGGAGCTTTCCTCCTTCCTTTCAGTCCGGACGCTTTTACGTTTTCTTCCCTCATAGCTGTGGCCAGACCCTCAGCACTGAGTCGCAGGCAGGAGGCGCGAAGGGGCAGCTTTTCACTGCCGACTGCGCTGCCCTGGGGCTCCTTCAGTCTGGCTGTTATTGTGAGCGCTGCATTACTGCTAGTTTACTGACTACTTGGACTCACAAAAGGACGTGGGGTTCTGTCAGACGCTGACTCTGTCTCCAGATAATCAACTGTGCGACCTTGTTTCCTTCACTCTCTTCATGAGGTCAGCACGGTGAACCGTGCTTGCGTTCCAGGAATAAACCTACTTGGTCACGCGAATGCTCTCTAACAGGCAGCTGGATTCAGTCTGCTAGTATCTGCTGAGAATTTCTGCATCAGTACTCAAAAGGACGCGGTCGGTATTTTCCATTCGCAGCGTTTTATCTGGCTTTCTTAGTGGGCTAACACTGATCTCACAGAATGAGTTGGGACGTGCCCCCTTTTCAATGTTGTGGGCAAGTCTGAGGGTTGGTCAGTTCTTTAAATTTTGGTAGAACTCACCTTCTATGTGCAGGGTTTTCTCTGAGCGAAGGTTTCTATGGCTGATGCACAGGCTCCTGGTTACAAGTGTACCCGGAACCTCTATCGCCTCACAATTTAGGTTCCCAACTTTCCGCTTCCCGGGAACTTATTCACGTCACCCTGCTCAGCCAGTGTGTTAGTGTGCGAGCGTGCACGGCACCTCACAACCGTCCCTGTGCCGTGGAGTCAGGTCTGTGCAACGGCCCCCATTCCGCTTCTGAGCCTTCTTTCCTTATTGGTCTATTTGCTGATCTTCTAAAAGAACCTGCTTTCGGTTCCAAGCTTTTCTCCACTATTTTTCCGTTTTCCATTTTTAACACTGTTCACTCGGTGTGTATTTTCTCGTATCTCATTTTATCCCCGTGCTGATCCTGCTTCCTGCCTCCGCTAGCTTCTTCCTGGTTCCTTAAGTTGTAAGGACACTGATCTGACCTCCCTCTTGCTTGTTATCTTACATCTTTATAGCTATAATTTCCTCACTTAGCCCGGGCTGTGCTGTGGCCCTTTAGTTTTAGTAAGTTGTGCTTGTATTTTTCATTAGTTTAGAAATATTTTCAAATTTCCCCATGATTTCTTCAACCTATTAATAAAGTTGTTTAATTTCAACTTTTTTTTCCCAGTTTTCCAGTTCTGCTGATTTGTCTTCATTTATACAGAAGACACATGGATGTCTGTCTTTTAAAATCTACTGAGACTGGCAGCCTGCCACACCCTCTGTCCTGGAGAACATCCCTGCACTCCTGAGGTGTCAGCTGCTGGCGGGGGCGCGGGCAGCGTGCTCTGGCAGCCCTGCGGGCGAGGCTGGCTGACGGCACTGTCTGTGTCCTCTGCTTGTTGTGTCCACTATTGAGACTGGGGTATCAAAATCTCTACCCACTGTCGTCAAACTGTGTTTGCCCACGGATTCTGGGCTGTCGTGCAGGTGTCTTACGTCTTTCTGCCGTGTGGAGCCCTTTATGTCCATGCACCACAGCCTCCCTTGACGCCAGGAGTGTCTGTCTGACCGTGCCATCCCAGCCCTCACTGGTCATCGCTAGCCTGTGTTACCTTTTAAGTGTCACCTGCATAGGGCGTCTCGGAGTGTAAGCCGAGCCTGTTGCTGGACCGTGTTCTTCCGCGGCGGCGGCTCAGGCCCTGGAAAGGGCCAGCCTCTGTCGCCCTCCATCCGCCTCCCGTGCGGCAGCACCCCACCGTACCTCCTGCATCAGCGTGTTCTTTCACGTTTAGCTGACATTTTGACCTATTTTTTAAATAAAGGTTTAAACTGATTGCCCATTTCTTTTGTATGGGATTCTCTCTTGTGGCTTCATGGGGATCCCCTTAGTGCTCTAAGGTTGAATTTGTGTCGGTGTACCTTCAGTGACTGCTAAGAACTCTACGGCTACTCCTCCACAGCTTCTCCCCAATCCTTCTGGGTTCTTCTTCCCTCCTGTTTCTTAATGTCAAAAAATTATACACCGTGTTCTACCAGACAGTTAATTATTTTAAACGCGTTCATCTCTTAAATTAGGTAGAAAACAAAATGTGGAGTCAGAACCATCTGACAGTTGGAGCTGTTTTACAAACTGCCCATATATCGCAATCACTGAGATATTTACTTCTTCATAGGCCTTGCAAGTCCCAGTCTAGTGAGCTGGCATTTCAGCCAGCAGTGGTCCCCTGAGCATTTCTTTCTGGTCAGGGCAGCAGAAAGAAATTCCTTCAGCTTTTATCTGTGAAAATCTTAATTTTTCCCTCGCATTTGAAGGACTGCTGGGATAGATAAAGATGACTTTTTTTTTCTCTTTTAGCATCTTGAACACAGCAGCCCACTGCTTACTGCTCTACAAAGTTCCTTTCTGCTAAGAAATCTATGTGGTCTTAACTGATCTCTGTCTTTCAGAGGCTTGATAAAGTGTCATCTTGGCTGTCAACTTGACAGGCCTAATGGACACCTGGAAGATGCGTAAGGCCCATTTCCGGGTGTGTCTGGGTGCGCAGGGACGGACCTAGGGACTCTATCTAGCCCTGGCCTGTCCGTGCTCGCTCCTTCCTGGTTGCCATGAGGCGAGCTGCTTTCCCCCAGGCCCTGCCACCGCGAAGCTCCACCTTGAAGCAGCCTGTGGCCTGAAACCTCTGGAACGGTGGCCTCTCCTCCCTTAAGCTGTCTGTCAGGCGTTTGGTCCCAGCCAGAGGAAACAGATTTACACACTCCGTGTGGGTCCCTCTGAGCTCATCTAACCCAGAGCTCATCTAAACATTTACACTCAAGTCCTTCCTATAAATCTCGGGGAGCTTCCAGCCATGTTTTATTTATTCTACCTGCTTCTTTCTCCTCCCCCTCCTGGACTCCACGTGGGCTGGCCTCACGGTTCCTAGAGAACTTATACTCCGGCCACTGTCCGTGAGTTCCCTTGGTCTTCCTCAGACTGGGGATTCCCGCTTCTCGTGCTGGCTCCCCCCGCACTTAATTCTCTAGTCGGTTTTTTCTAGGTGTTGCACCCTCCGGCTCCAGGGTTCCTTCCGGGTTTCTGATCTCTTGACAGGCATTTCCTTTTGTCCATACATTACCTTCTTGCCTTTCTTCACACTTTCCCTCAGTTCTCTGAATAGCTTTTCGACATCTATTTTTTTGTTTTAGCCTAGCTGCTCATTCATCCCCAAAACCAACTGCCGCCGTGGGCAGGCTGGCCTCTGGGCACTGGCCGGGCTTGCAGGTCACATTGGCAATGCCTGTCGCCATGGGCCGGGTTTCTTGTCTCCACCCAGAGATGGGAAAGGTGAGCACACTGGAAAGCCAGCTGGCACCTTCCAGATGTCAAACTATTATCTAATGAAAGGAGCTCGTGTGACTGAAACAGGACAAGGCCCAAGCCCCCAGAAGCTAGCCCTCTCCCCGTCACCAGGCCGTGCTCCGTAGGGAACAGTCAACTCCAGGCAGAAGGCAGCACCAGCTTCCTCCAAGTTCCTCGGGGTGCAGAGACACACACCTCAGGCGGCTGTCACAGTGAGGCCCCCGAGGCCGCTTTCCCCCACCCGCGGAGCACTGTCTTGGAGGCACTGGACAATGAATTCTCCGCCACCTGGACCCTGACCAAGGCTGATGTCTTCCCCAGCTCAGTGGCCCATGGCTTAGCGTGTGGCTTCTTTCATGTGTGCGCACGAAATTAACGAGAGTTGCTTATGAAGGCCCAGAGATCACAGACCCCCACAGGATCCAACGCACCCAACAGATTTCTTTTTAAAAAGTGTGTTGGTCCCATAAAAACAACGAGTACAAAGAACATAATACTTCCTATAAGAATGGCTTGAAATAAAACAGCGGAGGTATTTAACACTCAGAATGGTTGTGGCACACCGATGTTTTGACAGACCCCTGTGTCACTGCTATATCTGCCCGAGGTTATTTTAGGCAAAAATTCTAACAATTAGTCATGGTTACCTGCAGTACAGTTCTCCACGCCTAACTTACCTACTCAATTTACAAAATGTATATTGTGTGCCGATGGTGTTATGCATTACAATTTAAAAAGTTACTTATTAATTTCCTAACTATATTCAAAAGTCACTACTGTTCTTAATAAAGAAAGCTAATGCAAAAAGAAAAATGGTCAAATAATTAACTCTTTGAACAGAGGCTGGGGCAGGGCGGGGCGGGGCGTGCCTTAGTGGTGCAGTGCCTGCGCGCATGCACGCTGAAAGCCCTGGCCACCGGTTCACACTCGGCCAGCTCTGCGGCTGTAACCTGCAGGCCTGTGAAAGTAAATCTCATGCTGCAGAATGGTTGTCATTTCGAACCGCTGGTGACTCAGTAAAGTGTGATGACTGTGGCCAGTGACGCAGCTTGGTAAAGCCATTTGGGGACAGGCGTGACATAACCATCCAGCACCTGCGACAGGGCTGTGCATGGCGCTGGAATCAGTGCATGCCAAGGGGCCAGGAGTCAACTTGGAGCTGCTCTCTGCTCACTCTTTGGCCCAGTCTAGGTCAAGTGTGACACTTTTGACGTAAATTAAGAATAACAAGTGCTTTCTCCTATGCTGAGCTCTCTGCAGCACAGTGCACCGGAGGCCTGCAGGGCCCCTGCCCTGTAAAGGACTATATGAGGAAACGGTTCTGAAAATTTTCAAATTACGTTCGCAGGCCAGTGAACAAGCGAAACGCTTCAGGTGGGGGTTTGCAGGAGATTTCCCCTAAGCTCAGACTGTGCAGTTGTTAGGAGTGAGGTGCAAGTGAAGGACCTGCGCTTAGCTCCAACAGGCAGATCCAGCATGTGATAGGAACCACTGAGAAAGAGGCCTAAGATGACACAGGCTCATCTCAACGCCACCAGCTGAATGACAGCGGCAGAGCCACGCAAGCTTCAGTCCCACTCTGCTGGAGGGCAGCTGTGCCCTGTGCCAGCAGTGGGACGGGGAGAGTGAGGGTGATGCTGGTACCTGCAGGCCCAGCACGGTTCCCTTCCCCACCCCCACCAGACTGGCATCCTGACCGTGTGAGAAGCAGCCTGCAAGTCCACGCTCTGGAGCACAGAAAGCCGAGCAAACAGCGGGAGACAGCAAATCAACTCAGCCAGGCAACAAGACCAAAGGATGCACCACCCAACAAAGCAGTGCCCCTCACATGACTCTAGGGGTGCAGGAAAGAGGAGCACAAACTACAAGCCACAGAGACAAAGTGGAAAGCACACAACCAGAACCATTCATTCCACACTCTCACCCCAACCAGCCTGGCTGTATGCCAGAACAGCCAAAGAGGACAAGCCGGGACAGAACACGCATCCCAGCAGACCCGGCTCCTGGCTTGGAGCTCCTGCCTTGGCTGCCGTTGCTAGGATACCAGGGAAGCCGTGAGAAACAGGCCTTCCTTGGCCTCCCTCTGTGGGCCACTAACAGCGATGCTCCTGCAGCCCAGCAGTGGGCTTGGGCTGTGCCCGCCCCCCCCCCCGCCCTGCCCCAGGCCGCTGCCCGCTCACCCCTTCCCGGATGCCCCAGGAGCCGCCCCCTCTGTGGGCACTTGTTTGCTTTCTGAGGGCAGAAGATCTGGTTTACACTTGATCTCCAATCATAGCAGCTGGGCAAAAGAGACTCAATCTTAGAAAAAACTAATTCCTTAGACATTTAGGGTTTTAATGCAAAACAGCACTACCACATTTTCCTAGTTTTTAGTTCACGCTGGCTCAACAGCAACTAAAAAAACACTGAGTGTTTATCAGCGTACCACCAGCAGCTGATGCAGAGAAGCCGAAGAACCCAGCCTGGCCCAGGCCAAGAGGCTGGCCCGAAACCATCCTGGGTCTCGTCAGACCAGACGCAGGGATCCTCAGAGCAGGGCTCCTTCATGATCCCACGGACAGTGGGGGCCTCCCTGGGTGCAGCCCTCGGTGTCCTTTAGGCCACACTGGCCTGGCCATCGGGCCATGGCGGGTGTTTAAGGTGCTTCCCTGAGCAGCACCCGCTGTGCTGGCGGGCAGCCTGCACGGGGGGCCCCTCAGGAGGAGCCCAGAAGGAACAGTGTCTCACTCTAACCTTCCTGCATTCCCCAAGACGCGGCACTGCTGTCCGGCACCCCCACGCTGGGGTTCTGTGAGCTGGGAGGAAGCACACAGGCCGCCCAGGTCTCTTGCATCTTACTGTTACGGGACTACAGAAAAAGGGGGCTTTGGAGCCCATTTTGGTGCCTGTCCTCTGGGTCCATGGCGTCCACGTGGGGGGTGCACATCAACATGGGGGATGGGCTTTCCCAAAGAGAAAAGAGACCCGTGTAGGTATTTGGTAGGAATTGTTCATGGCATGCTCAGCAACAACTAAACCCACCCTGCCACACCGAGGGAAGCGGGGTGTAGGAAAACCCCGAGAGACAAACAGGAGTCAGTCTGGAGGGCAGACAGAGTGGACAAAGACCCACTCTGCCTCTCCATTCTCCATACTCAGACTGCCCTCAATTACCATCTGGGTCAGAACAGGGCAGTGCGGGTCACTGAGTTGGCCACTGTGTGCGTGCTGGAGCCTCGGCAGGCGGGAATCAAGTCTGCACATGCCATGGATGCCCCCACCGCCCACCTGTCTCTCAGGAAGGGACTCAAGGGGAACACGGCATGGCAAGAGGATGACAGGCCCAGGTGGAAGCCTAGACGTCTGCACCAGGACGATGGCTCGCGCTCAGGGCCACACGACCCTGGGCTTGTACCCCAGCCCCAGCACGTGTGAGTGGGGAGAGTGGACCACCCAGGTCGCCTCTCCAAGCTTCAGCTTCTTCATCTGTGACATGGAGGACTTGCTCCCAGCAAACTACTGCTACAAAAACTGCAGGAGAAGGTAGGAGAGGCTGAGCGCAGGCCTGGGCACACGGGGAGCACCCAGCGCACCAGGGAGGAATTTTAAACACGGTGCAGCGTCTACACCGAGGCGTCCTTCCCATGCACACACCCACAGGACCCCCGCACGGAGACCTAGACCAGCCAGCACCCCAGAAGGAAGGCCCTGTGCACCCCACCCTAACCGCATTCACCCTTCCACCCAGAGCAGCACTGTCCTGCTTCCCCTTCCACGTGTGACTTCCATGTGTCTCCAAAACTCCAGGAAACGGAATTGGAGAGCCAGCTCGCCAGAGACACCCAGTTTACTCTCTACCAGGCTACTGGGAACCGCCTGGGTCACCTGCGCTTCGAGGCGCTACTGTGGAGATTCCGGCATGCGTCTTCTGAAGGACAAACACGTGTCCAGGTTTCCCCTGGGGGGACGCTGGCTCCCAGGGCGGCTGACGTCTGTCCTAGAGAGCATATGCCCACCACCACCCCAGCGCAGGCGTATTCCCACTGCCTGGGCTGGGGCCCTGCGTGCACTGTAGGCCCTGGTGACAGATGACGGGGAGTGGCCCCCCTGGAGCTCCTGTCCTGCGGGATGGCAGGACAGCCCTTTGCTCATTCTAGGTGAGCTATTTCCCTTTCTTTGTTGTTCCACGGGGTTCTTAATATATCACGGATGAGTTCTCTGTCCCACACATTTACCACACAAGCGGTCATCAGATCCGGCCGTCTGGCCAGTGCCCCAGTCACGCACTGTGTTCTGTCCAGGAACCGCTGGCTGCCCCCAGGGAATCCCCGCATCGTCCTTGCTTCCTCATCGCAGCGCTGTGTGCCGTCTTCCCAGGGTACACATGCGTGTGCATGTGTGTCTCTCGGTAAAGAAACATGCGTGTGTCCAGGTCCAGGTGCGTGTGTGACGGTGTCTGGACTCTCCAGTGTGTTCTGCGATGTCACCACTGCCTTCCCACCACTGCCCCACAGTGCAGTCGCGGATGAAGCTGACCCTTCTCCTAAGGCTCAGCCACCACCACAGCGTACGCACGCGCGCAGGGGCGAGAAGCCTCGAGGCGCACTTCAGCAATGGCTCCCAGTCGCTGTGCCGGGGGAGGTCCCATCCACAGCCCAAGCAGCGCATCCTTCCAGGGGCTGGCGAGGGCCCCGGAAGTGAAGAAGACGGTGCACTGGAATCGGGGTGTGATGGGCCACAGGATTATTGGGAAAACACTGTTTATTATTTCTATAAACTAGCTTTCTCTATGTAAGAGAGTGTTGGTTTCTTTCAATTGAGGTTTTTCAATGAAAAAAAAAAGGAAGAAAAAAAGAAATAATACCAAACAACTTAGTTTAGACTCTATCTCTGTCCCACTGTGTCCCCAATAATATACACACACACACACACACACACACACACACACACACACACATACACACACACATGCACCCACATCAAGAGCAACCGATCAAAACACAGATCAAAAAAGAATAAAAGAAAAACACTTCAAATAAAGTTCAGCTGTTTCTATTTGGAAACAACAACAAAAAAATCCCACTCGCCACAATAAACTGACAAATAAGAAATTGACTTGTGGTAGCAGAGCTGGAATTTTCCAGCGGCACCGGCTACTCTGTCATTACTGTGGGTGACCCCAAAGTGACTGGGGGGGTAGTGAACAGCTGGGCCCTGGCTGCGTCCTGTTCCCAAGACTGGAGCGCCTGGGCAGGCCTCTGGGCTGCCGCCCTTCCCTGGAACTCCTGGAGGCAGGACAGAAAGCCTCGGGCCTCATCCCTGCCGAGGGACGGTCCTGACCTGCAGGTGACTGAAAAGTGGACACCTGCAGTCCTGGCTGCAGATTTCCACCGGACAGATGGCTCCAGCCCGCCACCCCAGCCTCTCTGAGTTCTCAGCAACGTGCAGGCTCAGACGGAGCCAGTCCACCCCAAGTGACGGGGACGGGAGCACACACGAATGATCACTGCTGCTTAACACAGAGTACCGACACTAACACTCAGTGGCTGTTGCTGCCACACTGGGACTACTTAATGACCAACCAGAGAACCCATGGGGAGACACTTCTCTTGAGCTTATACTTGCCCTCCCCCTCAATAGTTAACACAGGAGAACCAGGACACAGTGACACAGTCACACTTCCCTGGGCTCCCAATCTGAGCGGCTGCACCCACTGAGCATCTCCTGCTGTCTGTACAGAGGGAAGTGATTTGAGGGATGACACTGCTTAACTCCGGACCTGCTGACTCCAACACAAGGCAGACACTCGCACTGCATGGAGCAGGCTGTGGAGACGCAGGCCCCAGACTCAGCGGAGCCTTGGCTGCGGTCAGAGCCACGAGAACACTCAGGACAGAACTCTGAGCGCCACCTCCCTTTGCCTGGGCAGAGGCAGGCGCCTCCCGGGGGGCATCTGTGTTTATCAGGCCAGGCCAGGGCCTGGGATGCAAATGTGTTTGATAAACACCGAAAGAATACAAAGGTAAACAGTGGGCTCACAGCAGAGATGGGGGAGCTGCCCTGGAGACCCCTATGTTCCCAGGCCGTTCAGAACGGGGGCCCAGGGAAGACTGGGAGGAGCAGCAGCACAACAAACTCAAAACAAGAGGCCACATGGAGGCCAGGAAAAAGCAACAGGTGGAGGAGAAGGCGATTCTGCTGAGAGGCTAAACCTTACAACTTAATGAGCACAGCAAAGCGTCCACTAATTTTGGCAGTGAAGTGCAAACCGGTGAGCATACGTTAAAACCCAAACTTGCAGACACACCTCTACTTTAACTCCCTTTTGCAGTTCCACTGGATTTTGAAAAAGGCACAAATCCACAGGCACAAAGCATTTCAAAACCCAAAAGGCAGATGACAAGAAGCGATGGGCAGGGCGCGCGCACACACACACTGCAAGCAGCAGCCCACTGTTTCAGAGGGCGTGGCTTCCTCCGTGTGATGCAGGAAGAGGGAACGTGGGCGCCTCCCCTGCAGGAGGGCACGAGGGCAGGCAAGCAGGCAGCGCAGTGGGGCTCACACTCACCGTGTAGACACCTCAGGAGACACGCAGGCACGGCAAAGGGGAGCGAGTGGGTGAGGAGTGGAGAGGCAGCCGGACGCGCTGTGCTCTCGTTGACTCCAAAGCGAATGCTCCAGAGGCTCTATTTCCTCCTTTCTGTTTTTGAGACAGGGTCTCACTAGGTAGAGCAGGATGATCATGGACCGAGCCGGCCACAAACTCATGGCGATCCTCCTGCCTCAGCCTCCAGAGTGCTGGGATTATAGGCGTGTGCCGTCACACCTACTCTATAGAATTACTGCTTTTATGAGTGCAAAAAGAAGAAAAAACAAAGGGAAAAGGAACGCACAGGAGGCGAAGAGTACAGCCAGGGTCCCAACAAGATTCTTGGGAAAGGCCTCTGAGGAGCAGAAACATCCAGATGGGCGCGCTGTGACGAGGTGGCTTCTGAACGTCTGTCTGGATTCTGTCTCCTTTTGCTCTGGTGCTAGAAAGGCCAGATCTTAGCTCACCTGCTCCGCTGACCCCGTGGGCAGTCACACCCTTCCACTCCAGGCCACACAGCCTCCTCCCTGCGTCCGGTATTTCTGGGTGTCACCTCTTATTACACGGATTTCACAGGCCCTGAAAATCGGGCATGCTCGACAGGTACCACTCCAGCTAATTACCACTTACACACAGTACCAAGCACCGGCACTCACGGCCTGATGGCTGCTCAGCGACTCCGAGTGGATGCAGGCCCTGCCACACCACATTCCCCGCAAAGGCGCCCGTCCATGTGGACACCCACACGGTGCTTTCCGGTGAGTCACTTCCCGCGGTGCCCCTACAGCAGCCTGGCTTCCCGTGCTGTCCCCGGCCCCCTGGAGACTCCTGAGGAGGGACAGGAAGGCGGCCAGGAATCTCTCTGCAGGACAGGACATGGGGTCCAGGTGATTTCCTCATCTGCGCAAAGAGGCGATCGCCAAGGCCCGCCTGCCAGAGCCTCCCGACCAGGTAGCGTGTGTGAACGCAGGAGACGGACTAAGAAACGGTTTGTGAAGAGCAAACGAGAAGCCAGGCCGCGCTGCACCTGCCTCTGACCCCAGTGCTCTGGAGGCCGAGGCAGGAAGATCGCAATAGGTCTTGGTCAGTGGCTTGGCAGGACCCTCAGCCGAAGTTTAAAAAGGGCCGGGGTGAGGCTTTGTGAGAAGGGCCTGGGGCCAACCCGGGCCAGGGAAGACAGTGAGTGACCGTGCGAGCGCGGTGAGGAGAGACGGGAGCCGCGTCTCCTCCCCCTGGGACACGGCCCTGGCCTGCGGCTACCCTGGGCCTGCTCATCCCCTGCTCTTTGTCGGAACTAGGCCTGCCGTTCTCCCGCCACTCTCCTCCTGGTTGTGTTTTCTTTCTTTTTGGGCTAAGAACTGCCTAACCCCCACAAGGCGCAGCGTGCAGCGGTGGGCACAGCACGACCAGGTGCCAGCCTCACTGACCCTGGAGCAGGGCCTCCTGCCGCTTTCCTCCCTGACCGACCTCATGAGCGCCTGTGCTCTGTCACCTAAGATTCTTTCCTGCTGCTCATCAGACGGAGGACTCTTTAGCACGAATACCCAGTGTTTCGTAGTTAACTTACTTTTGAAACGGCGGGTGCTGACCAGGTCCTTTCTGGCCTCGGCAGAAGCCACGGGAAGGGAGTTTCGTTGCTGCGCTGCCCCTTCCCCTCAGTCTCCCCTAGTCTGCTGGGCTCCTCACTGTTGCCCGCTGGGGACACGCCCTGCCTATGCAATGGCTGGTCACAGGCCCACAGGCAAGGGCTGGGCTGAGCTGACTCTCCCCAGCAAATTTCCTGGAGTTCAAAAGGCATGTTTCACCCCAAACTCTGGCAGCTGCACCTGCTCCCTGGGCACTGTCCATGGCACTGTGCCGGTTTTGGCGCACAGCTCCGAGGTGAGCGAGGGGAAGGAGGAGAGTCTGCAGCTTGCCCAGCAGCAAGAGGCCAGCGAGGAGCTGGACGCCCGGCTCCCTCAGTAGCGGGCTGGGGACAGAGCCCTGAAGAGGAGACCTGGGGACACCTGGCGCACTCCTCCCTCTCTCTAGGACACAGCACGCCTGGTGTCCCGTGCTGCCGGACTGCTGTTTTCTCACTGACACTTAGAAGTCCCTACAGCAAACATGGGTAAAGCCTGTTGTGCACTGAGGACCATGGACACGGCTGGTGACGCACAGCATAGGGCCCGGCTGAGCTGACCGCCCCAGGTCTCCCAAGGGCTTTTCCAGTGACATGCTGGTTTGCAATGTCCTATTGCTGTGAACGATTCAGCTTACTGTCCCCGAGGGTCACAAGAGTGCAGTCTCAGCCCCAGAGCTCCCACAAAACAAGTGCCACGCAAGGCAGTGGTCCCACACAAGTGAGTGCCAGGAAAGGGCCCGTGGCCACATGCAAGGATACAGGGGTTACTGTCATCGATGCTGCAGCTGTCCAGGATCAGTGGGATGCCGTCCAGCTCGTTCACCTGGGGAGACAGAAGGCACCAGTCAGCGTCCAGGGCAGCAACTCCCTTCCCCACACTCCACACTCCGAGGCACGACGCTGCGTGCAGTTACACAAACCCACAGCAGCCCAGAAATGGCTCAAAGCAGACAGCGGAACCTAAGTGATGATTGTCTTCTTTCATCCGTCCTCAAAAATGTGGGGGCAGCAGGGCAGCCATGTGAAGAAGAATAAAAGCAGGTCACTTCCTAACCCTGTTCCCCCGGATAAACTCCCGGTGACCCTAAGCCCGAATGTGAAAGTGACAAAGGCCAGCACTGCAGAGGACACGAATGAAGTGGTTTTTAAGGCTGGAGACAGAGAAAACCTCCCCAAGTATGATTCAGACTTCGGAAGTAAATGTAGAGAAAAAAGTTCTAAGCTGGAACTCTCCATTTTAAAATTTTATTTTCTCTGTGAAATGCTGACTTAATTAATTTTGTCTTTTTTGGAGACAAGGTCTTGCTGTTCAGTTCAGGCTGGTCTTGGACTCACTTGGTAGTCCAAGCAGCTGGTCTGCCACTTGCAACGGTCCTCCTGCCTCAGCTTCCTGCGTGCTGGGATGACAAGAGTGCACTACCATGCCTGGGTTTTTTTAACCAGGGATCAAACTCACGACCTCACACTTGCCAGGCAGCACTACACTGATGAGCTAAATCCCCAGGCCCAGGCTTCTGTTTTTTTAAAAGGCAAATGAAAACTGGGAAAGTTACATGTCACATTTCACAAATTTGTAAAATACTGCAAAAGATTAATATTTTGATGCATAAGAAAACTTACGGAAATTGAAACAGTATCAGTAAGGCCGAGAAAAAGGGACGAGAGGCAGGGACAGACAGCACAGGGAGGAGACATCGGGGGACCACAGACGCCAGACCGTGCCCATCCTCACCCCGAGGAGAGCGTGGTGTGTTCCCCACTGCTGGGCTGTGGCCCCATGGAGGGACTGGGCCCCGTGCAGCAAAGCCCCCAGCGTCCACCCTCCGCCCAGGGACCCCATCACGGGACCTCACAGAACAACAAGCCCCCAGGAAACTACTCAGGGATCAGGCTGTTAGGGTTAGTTTCAGGTAACAGTTCTGCTCAGCTGTGACCGCAGTGTCACAAGATTCACCCGACGTTCAGGAGGTTTCAGCAGACTCAGAGCTGCAGCACAGAATACCTGTATGTACACTATAATGGACTCTATATACGAGGGTGTACACTACACCAAGGAACTAATGTAGCACATGTACCACATTTTTAGTATATTCCAAGTTGTGAGTACACTAAACGTACTCACTAGTAGATCAGTGCTGCCTAATTTTAGGACATTCCCGTACCCTAAAAGAAACCCAGGACCACCTGGCGCTCCCTCCTCGTCCCTACCTCCCCTCAGCCCTTGGCAACTACTAACCTACTTTGTATCTCTGCATTTGTCTATGTGGACATTTCACACAAATGAAATCCAATGAGGGCAGCTTTCTGCACCCGGCCTCTTTAGCTTGGCATTGTGGTCTGCAGGTCCAGCCTTACTGTGTGGGTCCCCATTTTATCTCGTGTGTGGCCAAGCAATAGTCTACTGTACGGATGTATGTACTTTATTTTTCCATTGACGGACATTTGACTTCTACAGTTTGTCTATTACAAGAATCACATGACTGTGTGTGTGTGTATGCGTGCGCACGAGAGAGAGAGAGAGAGAGAGAGACAGACAGACAGACAGACAGACAGACAGACAGAATGGGGAAGAGAGAAGGATAAAATACACATTTGGACTGGGGATTTAGCTCAGCAGCATAAGCGCCTGCTTTGTAAGCGCAAGGTTGTGAGTCTGATCCCCAGTACCAAAAAAAAAAAACCCATTTGGGGGGTCAGGTATGTAGTCCAGAGGAAGAGATGGCATACAGTAAGCACAGGGCAAAATGCCCCAAGGGGCACTGCAGTGACCACAAAAGCTGATGTCCGTGCTGTGACCTGGCCACAGCAAGGAACTGGGGGAGGAAATGGACATCCCCCAGGGCCAATTCATACCCCGCTCTGCAGTCGGGCTGCACGTGTCTTATCAGACATCAACTTCTCTGATAAGTGAGAAATCAGTGTCCAAGATGTATTATTCAGTGCAAGAAAAATATCTTGCTTCCTACTAAAAAAAAGGTACCAAAAAAGAAAAGGTTCTGAGAGATGCTAATGGGTAAGATTTCCTTTGAGGAAAATGAGATCACATGCTAAAAACTGAAATTTAAGCAGGCAACAAGGGTAAATTAAAGAGTTCTTAAAAATGATGGTCACCCGGAGCCGCAGGTGACCCGAGGGAGCGCGGCCTGGATAAACATCTCTGTTCGAGCAGCGGCTTTCCGGAAGGGCACAGGCAGAATTCATAGCAGTGCGCTGAATGTTTACCACACCACGGCCTATTCTTGACCCAGGTGACCAAGGCGTAATTACATGCTCACGAGCGAGCACAGGGTGAGGGCTCTGGGGAAAGCAGACACCAACATGCTGGCTTCACGAGAGGGCGGACAGGCGACTCCGCACTGCAGAGCTCCGGTTCACTGCTGCGGCTCCCAGCGGAGCTGAGGCCGGCCACGAGAACAATTAGGAAATTAACGAGTTTGCTTCTGTTAGCACTTCACAGAACGAGGAAGTTGTTTGTTACTCTTCGTAACATGTTGGGAGCTGATTCTAGACCATAACAAATGAGTCACAAGCTGTAGTTCGTCTCGGGGAGCCAAGCTCAGTCAACACTTTCACGTGGTAACGCAGCTCGACAAGACAGTAAGCCTGGCTTAAACAAATGAACATTTAGCCTCTGGACACAGGGTGCAGACAGACGGCAACTTGCTAGTTCACTTGCTCTGGGTCCTGCTGGAGCCCAGAGCACTGGGGAGCCCTCAGCAGAGGCGCTCTTCCGGGAAGACCTATTCGCCTAGCAGAAAGCAGCCTCCATTAGTCTGGCGGCCCTCGCACCTCCTGGTGAATACAAAGACAGGAGTTGTGCAGTCCCAAGGTGAGATGGAGACCCCTTGAATCCAGCCCCAATGCAGTCCCTTGAGGCAGCCAGACCTGCAAACTATGAGGGTCCTCCTGCCAAGGCAAATGAGCCAGACCCGAGGGTGTGGCAGTGAGCACACAGGCTTCTGCTCAGGGAGGGTGCCGTGCCTGGACAGGCCGAGTCCGGCTCAGGGAGCACGGGAGGAAGGAACAGCTCGCAGGAGACGCAGGAACACAGGCCTCTGGTACCACTGCGTCCCCGCAGAGGCAGCGAGGGGCTCTGAGGGGCAGGCAGGCTTCCTAAACCCTAGCACAGCCCTGCTAGTGCTGTGCCTCTGGGGAAGTTCCTGAATTTGAGTCTATGTCTGCTGAGGCATCGCCACCTCCTAGCAGAGTGGGCAGCGAGGGGGGAGAGGTGCTGGCACGTGGGGAGCACATGAGAAACGACAGCCTTTTCTAACGCTTGGCATGTCTGAAAACGGCTGGACGTAGGAACCCCTGACCAGGTACCAGCTGTCTCTCAACACAGGTCATCTGTGCAGCTTTATTTCTGTAGCCGTGAGATACTTGGCAGGCACCGGTCCCTCTAAGTCAGGGCCATGCTGCCTGTGACTGTCGCTAAGCTGGTGAGTCTGTTGGTGACGAGTGTCCATCCGTACCCTTCCGCTGGCTTTGCCTTACACAGCAATCCCAAGTAGCACAGGGCAGGCCCCTCTGTGCTGTACCCCTTCCACGGTGCTTTGTCCTAAGGAACTACGGCTCTCTCAAGGCGTCCGCTGGCACTTGGTGACGGAGCTGTTGCTCCTGTGCCTGGTGGTGGAGAAACAGCGAGGACGTGACTCACGAAGCAACCAGAAAGCAACAATGCTCATCGTGTAGACCTTGGTCCAGAAGATGCCAGGGCGGCGCCTTCACCCTCCACTACACAGTGCACCGTGAAGCCATCTGGGCACATGCATCAGCAGTCTGTTTTTATTTCTGCATATAAAGCATCACTGTTTCTTTGGGCACTCATGTGGTATTCAACACCTGGGTCAGTTCCGTTTTATCTACACAGCGTGGAGGAGCAGTGAACATATGCATGCCCAGCTTTTGGTGGAATGTGTTTCCACCGTCTCTTGGGTCAGTCCATACCTAAGGTGGAACTGTGGGGTCATGTGTCACATTTATACTGAAGTTTCTAAGACCTAAGTTTTTATTTTCCAAACGTAGTGCACCAACTTACATTCTCTCCAGCAGCGTATCTGTTATTCTGGATCTTTACCAACACTTGACATTACGAGACTTTTTAGGGAGTACTTTGTGAGAAATGTACACTCTCCTTATGACTGATGATCTGAAGGTCTGCTGGGGACTCAGGGTTTCCTGTATTTTTTAGGGAAGCATTGTTCAAATACTTTCTCCCTCATTTTGCTGTAAGAGGCTCTTTACATATTCTGCATATGAGTAAGCCCTGTTCCAACTAAACGTGCTCTATATATTGTCTTCTGGCTGGTGGCTCGCCTTTTCATTTCTATCAGTGTGTTCAAAGAGCCTCGCTTTTAAATTCAAATGAACAATTTATCTACTTTTTTGCACGGTCAGTGTTCCATGTGTCTTAAGAAGTATCTCAACATTTTTCACAATGTTTTCTTCTGTAAGTTTTATGGTTCTAGCCTTTATATTTCCATTTTAGGTCAATTTTTGAGTTTAGTATGATGGTTGAGGTTCTTTTTTCCCCTTTTGTTCCAGCACCATTAACTGAAAAGTTAACTCTCCCCACTCCTTCTATTTCTGGACTCTCTCTTCTTTCCCACTAATAAACACATCCATGTTTATACCAATACCGCCATGTCTTCACTGGCTTGACCATAAGGCATGAAAGGTTGAGTAAAATCTCCATTTTTCATCCTCATTTTTGTGGGGCGTTATATAGCCAATAGGCTACAGTAACAAAACAGCACAAGCCGAGTGCCTGAGAAGAAACGCACTGCTCCCAGTTCTGAAGGCCACCTGCTGAAGTTGGGGTGT